GGAGTAGAGGCCTATAGTGCAAAATAGGAAAAAAGAAACTTCTGTAGCATTTTTGCACATGTCCTGATAAAATATCCAATGAATGGAAGAGCTCAGGTAGCTATTAGTGAGTAGAGAATAAGAAAGACAAGGAAATCCAAGAATGTTTCCAGGAACATATGACTCCAAATGCTTTTTTTGGTTTATTTTAGATAGGTCATAAAACTTATGAGCAACGGGAGTTCAAATTCCATGTCTAACTTCTTTTAATATATCTAAACCAGCTATTCTCAACTAGGAGTGATTTTTATCTCCTAGGGAGTAGTTGGCAGTCTGGAAACATTTCTTGAGTAGCACATCTAGCTACATGGTACTGGACTTTTATAAGACACAGGTCAAAGATGTTGCCAAAAATCCCACAATGCACAGGACAGTATCCCAAAACAAAGAACTATTCAGTGTCATTGTAGCAAGACTAAGGGTCCCTGATCCACAAGATGAGAAAGCCTCACAAAATAAAAACACCCCTATACTGTTCAAATTTTTTCTAATGCAGTTAATGTGATCATAGTAATCACTGAATTAGCAACCACAACTATGTCAATAAAGTATAAATGAGTCAGGGGTTTAGGTCCACAGCACAAGCACCTGCCCGCAAGTGCGATCGCCAGTACCCCTCCGAAGAAAAAGTATAAACAAAATTTTTTGACTATGCATGAAGTACTTGTTTCATGATATGTACAGTTCAGTATATTAATCAGTTATATTCCTAACCTTGTATATCAAGCCATCTCAGAAATATTAGAATTCAAAATTTGATATCCTATTTAAATAGAAATTGGTGGGGTTTTTCGTAGCCTTCAGCTTCTGGCATGAAAAAAAAAGGCTTAGCCCTTTCTTTTGAGAGTAAAATTACAACACATAGTCATATGTTCAGCATCCTTTAGTTGGATATGCTTGTTCCCTATAGGAAGTTTAGAACTTATAAAAGGAGTATTATGCAGAATACAAATTGAGAGTATTACATGACTATCTCTCGAGAACATTGAGTTGTGCAAACAGCATCGCTTTATCTGACGTAGCAGCTTTCAATTGGTCTGTCTGTTCACCCTAGGGCTATCTGGAATTATAGATCAGGGACATCACTGTCATATCCCAGCTGCTACAGAAAGCTACTGGAAGAAAAAAAGAGATTTATGTGCTTTTTGGTTATACTGAACCAAGGATACAGGAGGTATACAACAGGGAGCCTGGTGGCTCTAAATTGTAGGCATTATGCAAAAAGAAAATGCAGAGTTGGGTGTCATGGGAGTCCTCCAGAAGCAATAGGACATCTTCGGGAAAATCTCTGAAGAATAAATTTAACAGTTATTAAATAACACCACACTATTGTTATAGACAGTGAACTTTATATCACCAGAAGGGATGGCAGGGATTTTCAGGAAACATCTGCCATTTAACAGTGACAATGACCTCAGCATTGACAAGTAATTCAAATCCCAGTTGAGAAAGGTGACTTAACCTTTGGGGGTGGCTGAGTTTGGAGTGCTAACTCTGCTAACCTTAGCAGGTTATTGATATTCTTGGCAGTTGAGGAATTCTGATGGCAAAGAAAAAAAGTTATTACAAACTGATTAACTCTATTATGAGACATTTATTACTACTTCTCAACTGTATAAAGTTATCAAGTCTTGATTATGTTAACTTGGGTCAAATGCCTATGCAAATATTAAAGAAAAATGAGAAAATATAATCTAGTCTTCAAAATCAGTTGTGAAATATAAAAACTAAGTCAAACTTAAGTTTTAAAAATCTAAATGTATTAATTGTATATAAGGACTTATCAAGCCAATACTTTCTAATTAAAAAGCTCTGATTTGTAAGTAACAGTAGGAAACTTAAAATTAATATATTGAAAGCCAGCTATTACTACAGACAGTGCTACGTTTTCTTATTTCCTTCTAATCTCTATAAGTCTCTCAAGGAAAGAACTATTACCTTTTTTATCGATAAGAAAATAGCCTTTTCTTTCAATATTTTTCCTGAAAGGACAAAAGCAGAAAACAGTACTGCTGGAGAACTGCAGGAAAGATAGATGTGTTGAATCCCAAAGCTAATAAACTCTTATACTATGCTACTATGAGAAATTACATTTTTTGTCAAATACATGAATATTAAAATTCATCACTTGAAAAAGCATTAATACTGTAAGCTGATCATGAGCTTCCCTCACCACCACACCCACAACATTCAATTGTTTACGTGATGACACCATTTCAGAGCCCCAGAGGCAATAATGGGCTTAACATGCCCAAAACTGATTTATCACCTTCCCCACTGAAACGCTGTTTCCTGCTTCTCTCAAAGAATATTTATCTCATTGCAAAGAAAAAGAAATATACAAAGGATTGTACTGTTATCTGGGTGACTGGACTCTAGGTTTTTACTCTTTATATTTCTCTGTATTCTTAAGACTTTAAAACAGGCATAGTGATGCATGCCTATGATCCCAGAACTCAGGAAGCTGAGGCAGGAGGATCATTGCAAATTCAAAACCAGCCTGGGCTACAAAGTGAGCTTAAGGCCAGACTGAACAGCACAGTGAGACGCTGTCTCAAAGAGGAGAGAAAAAAAGCTTTAAAAAACATTAATACTATAACATTATATTCTTAAGTTTTAAAAATAAAAAATATGTACAGTTGGAAAAAACTTACCTTCCCAATGCAATTTCCCTCCTCATAGGCAAACACTATTCGTGGTTTTTATAATTTTTTTCTATGAATTATTTTATGCATTGCTGTACAAATAGCTTGGAATTATATATTTACATATATATCATTTTTCCTAATTGGAATTCTAATATATGCATTATATTGTAACTTGCATTTTCCTCTTAATGACAAATCTTGGATATTTTTTGCAGTCAAAACATAACAAATTTTTCAGTCTTTCTACTCATACAGAATTTTCAAATATGATGCCAGTACCACAATTTAATCATTCCCTTTACTAATGAGGTTACTGTCAATTATTACAATTATGCAGAAAATTCTTAATGACACACGTCAGCAATTCACACATCCCACCCAAGTGTGAGGTCCTGGGTTCGATTGACAGTACTAATAAATCTGCCTCCTTCACATTTTATCATTTCTGAAACTTGAATGGATCTTACTGTTTTGTTCTTTTTTGAGACAGTGTCTTGCTCTACAGTTCAGGCTGGCCTAGAGCTCATTTTGTAGCCTAGGTTGGTCTCGAATTCACAGTCCACCTGTCTCAGCCTCCCAAGTACAGGGATTACAGGTGTACGCCACCACACCCCCGCTCCACTGATACTGTTACCATCACTGTCACCCAGGTAGTATTTGTTTTCTACAAAAAAAAAAAAAATCTTCCTATAAAAACAAGTATTAACCCCAATACATTAGTGATTACAGACAAACACAAAGATATTTATAGTAGAGCTGCCGGATTAAAGGATATGTGCAATTTTACTAGATAAATCAAAACTGTCTTCCAAAACCAGGGGTGGTGGTGGGTGCCACACCAGTAATCCCAGTACATGGAAGGCTGAGACAGAAAGGACTGCTGTAAATTCACGGCCAGCCTGGGCTACAAAGTGAGTTTAAGGCCTCAACTGCCTAGCGAGATGTCTTAACTGTCCTTCAAATAAGGCAACAATCTATAGATAAGGTCATCTTGGAGAAGCTTTTTTCCTCCAAGAGTAGTTTTTATAGATCTTTCAATTTTTATCAATGCAAGGACCAAAACTGAAGCTCTATATTGTTAACATTAATTTTTTTTTTAACATTCTCCCACCCTAAACCCTCATATGCAGGAGTTGTGGGTCTTTTGGGAAGTGATTGCACCATGAGTGTGATACTCATCCCTGGATTAGTCCACACGTGTGGTGGTGGGAGATGAAACCCGAGGTTAGTCACTACGGGCATGGCCTGCGAAAGTGAATATTCCCCTTCCTCCTTCCCTGATCCCTCACTGCTTCCTGCCTCATTTGCCAGATTGTTTCTACTTACCCTTGCCCCTTTGCCATGCTCCTCTGCCTTGGAGCCAGCTGCCTTAGCCTGAAACAAACTCAGTCAGTTATTATGTCCCAGCAAAGAGCTGACAGTCCTCTTCAAATTGTTTATATCTTTCACCATGAAGTCTTTTGTTTCTTCTCTTTATGTATCAAATTCATCATACATTTTTCCTTAGGACTCTTTAAGATTTGTACCTTGCTTATAAATTCCTAAACTATCATTTTTTAAATTTTGATACCCCTTAATATTTTAGTAGTACTTGCATAGTTACTAAACTTTCTTTAATCCATTGGAAATGTATTTCTGCATAGTAATACATTATGTCTTCTCTCAATATGGCTAGTCTACTATCTCCATTTCATAGACTACTTGTACTCATGACTTTTATACATGAATATACAGCATCTACTCTGTATTACAGGAGTTTAATGTTATATTGGTCTATTATAACTTAATACTGTTTTTTGTATGTCCCTAGTTTTTAAAAAAGTTGTCTTTATTACATTGCACATGAATTTCTGAATTAGCCTAAGTGACATATGTGGCTAATATCTATTCTTCCCCTTTTCCTAAAGTAGAATTCATGGCTGTTACATACAACAACACAGTCATACAGCCTTTTTGGAAGCTAAATGTGTTCCTGTGGCTCTTTTCAGCAAGGAGATTGATGTAGAAAATTTTCTGGGAACTATTCTTTTAGTGGTATTTTAGTGGTACTGTTTCTTTTCTTTCTTTCTCATGGACGTTATAGAGACCAATTGTAGATAAAGTCTAAGAGATGGCAGAGCAAGAAGCCACCTCAGCCTCTGAAACTTTGAAGTGCCCCACTGCCCACCTGAGCTTTAGGATACTTCCGAAGGAAAACTTCCTTAAGCCACTGCGTTTGTTTTGTTTTGTTTTGTTTTGTTTTTTACGGAATACAACAAAATAAAGCGGAACAGTAAGAACAATATTAGATTTCAAAAAAATGACAGAAGGAAATCTTCTATAGTTGCTTTATTGCATACTATTATCTTCTAAATAGAAGCTCTGATTACCGGCTTTAGGCCTGCAAAGTCAAACAATATAAGCATTATTTTTTACTTCAGTTGCTAACTAACATCCCAGCCTGTGTTACTCAAAACCAGCCAGTTCTTTATGGAGGTGTGGGAGATTCTTGTCTCCCAATCCACATGCTGGCTAGCTCACGGCAGAGTGTGGGCTTCTTGATTCTTCTTCCAGCTTGCATGGCTGCTGTTGGCTCACAAGAGTGCAGGTTGCTTCTTTGTCCTCTTCCCAGAACACATGGTTGTTGCCGGCTCACATGGGGGCACAGGTTGGTTTCTTGGTTCTCCTCCCAGTACACAACTCACTGGTTTGTTTTAGGTTTGTATTTGTTTACGAGGTAGATGGGGGTGGTGGTGCTTGGCTCAAGGTCTCTTTGTGGTCCTTATCCGCCTTAAACTTTCTGTGTAATTCAGGATGGCCTCTCATCATTCTCCAGCCTCAGCCTCCTAGGGCTGGGATTACACTCAAATAAACCATTGTTATTTTTAAACTTCACAGCCAATACTAATCCTAAAAAACAGAACAACAATTTATTGATTCATATGAAAGTAACTGACATAGACAATTTCTTTAAAGGCAAGAATATAAAATGTTTCTCTTATTTATTCAGGTACTTTATATCCTTCACTAAACTGTAATTTTCCTCATAAAAATCTTCATGCTTCCCACTATTACTAAATAGTTCAGATTTCTGCTGCAAATGGGATTTTAAATTCCAATTAATTTTTAAATTACAATTCTATTAATTACATTGGCTAATGCAATGCTACAGATTTGTTTAACTACTACACAAAGCTACCTTCTATTGTTTCTAACTGCTCAACTGATTCTCTATCCACAATCACAGTCTGATATAATTACTGTGATGTCACCTCATAACATTTCTAAGGATTACACAACTGTAGTTGAGCAACAGGCATCAGTCTTGATCCAGACTGGAATATGTTTACAAAGCTTTCTGGTAAACATCCCCAGTCACATTAAAAAGGTTTTCTTCTAGTCCCAACCTGATAAAATTTAAACCTAAATATTAAGAAGTTCTTCTTCAGCATCTATCAAGAGTATAACATGGCTTTCCCCTCATTTAGTGTTTTTTTAATTTATTTTTTTTAAGTATAGTACTCTAAGAGGCCAAGGCAGGAAACCACAAGATTGAGCCTAAGGGAATACAATGTTACTTCAGCTATAATACACTGGCTACTATAATATCAGAAGTAATACACTGATGCCTCAGTTTACCAACTTTGTTTTATAACTTGGAGGACAGCTGTTTGTGTGGGGGAGATGGCAGTGGCCATGTTTGTCACCTAATGCAAAGTCTGCAAACAAGATTTTGCAAAATCACTTTTGTGAACTTGTTTGCATACGGAGGCATTTATGAACTGAGGTATTACTGTAATAGATTTCCTTTTTTGTTTGTGGCACAGGAGACTGAATCAGAGCCTTCACACTGAGCTACATCTTAAGACCTTTTTAACTTTATTGTGAAACATCATCTCCCACAATTGCTGTTTCATAGACTAGTTATACATGCAATTCTCCTGCCTCAACCTCCAGATTATGTGCATCATTTGGGTAAATCCTACTTTCACATGGCACATCATTCTCTAGAACCTAATTGGTAATTGTAGTATTTTTTCAGTGATTGCATCTGTTCTTAATAAAGACTACCTTTCATCAATAATTTTCTGGAATATTACGCTAACTTCAGATATCAAACAGGCATTTCAACACTTTGTGTAACCTAGAAGAGCTTATGTAAAATAATCTCTTACCTAAGATTCAGTTATTTCTTTTTAAATGAGAGCATTACAAAAGCAGTGTTTTGAATCTGACTAGATTTCTTATTAATGAGCTTACTGCTATTTATTTGTTAATTTACAGTTTTATTGTATTGGGAGGATGGTATAAAACCTGTATGGTTTCCACCTAACAAAAAGAATTTTTTTGTGTGTGCGGCTAGCTGTATGGTCATTTTTCTTTCACAGTATTTGAAAATACACTACATTAAAATTTGTGAATGTCGTGATATAAAATGTTTCGCTTTTCAACTCAGTATCTAAAAATTTCTGAAAGTTATGCTCAAATACTTAGCTATGACTGCAAATCTGTCACTAATTCCTTGTTTACCCACTTTACATACTATAATTTGTTTAAACTCATAGTTTTATGAGTTAATTTCTCAATGCCTGCATGTTCTAAGACTGCTGTTAACAATCATGTGTCATCACTCTTAGTTGACAATTTGACATAGGTAAAAATCTGAATTCAAAGTAATTTTCCCTGCCAGGGATTTAGCTCAGTGGCATTAGTGCCTGTCTGGCAAGCACAATCATAATTTCTATCCCCAGTACTACTACTACTACTACTAATAATAATAATAATTTGCCCTAAAAACTTTAAAACTAGCCATAACTTCTAACATGCCAATATATAGATATGTCTGAGATCAATGTGCTTTTTTCCCCCTTATATTTCTCTTCAGACATTTTAAGATGTTTTAATCATGAGATTACAAGGTTTATCCTCTTTCACTGTTTTGCTCAAGACTTCAACCTTTTATTATAAATCTTTATTGGAAATTTTTTCCTTGTTCATTTTTTTCTGTTTTACCTTCTGGAACTCCTACATACATACATTCAATCATTTGGTCAAAAACTGTGAGTCACATATCTTCCGTATCTTTTTTTGTAGGTCTCTCTTAGCTCATAATTCTATCTCAATTCTCAGTCATACTTATTCAACTAAGCAACCTAAATATTATCTAACCAATTATTTTTTACTTCCTAGATTTTTTTCTGTAAGTTTCTGCATCTTAAATTATTGCCATTACCTCTCAAATAAAGACTGCAAACCTACAGCACCTGTCTCAGCAGACATGCAGAGGCCACATGAGCCAGGTTACCCCAACAGTGAAAAGAAGGGCACTTTGTGGTAAACAAGTGGGTTTGGGGTTGCGGGCTGAGTATTGAAAAGTCTGCCATCATTGTTCTAGAAGCTCCTTGAAGATTGTAGTAACAGCATGTAATTTATGATTTACACATAAAATTGTAACTAGTACTATTATTTCATATATTAATTATACTTACTCTAGATACATTTTTTTCTGCACTTTTCCCCAAGAATTGTTTAAATTTGGTTTCTCTTTTATTCTTTTATGTTGCTCTTTTATTTAAGCACTGTGGTTTCTTAGTTGTGCATTTCTGTTTGTAAACGAGAGCCTACCAGTCAGCACACCTTTTCTGCAAAGGTTAGGCTTCTAGGTCCACAGACAGGATCTTTCACATACTTTTTATCACTGCCCTTGAAAAACTAAAATCTACACAGAAACACTGCTGAAACCCCTGCAGGTGATAGCTCTCTTACCACTAGGTTTCTAATCCCTGGGGCATTGCCGTGCTTTCATGTTTACTATATATACACATACTCATTCCATATATGCTGAGTCTCATTGTATTTGGCATGCAGCAAAGTGCTTACGACTTTAGCTTGGAGGAATTCTATGACCATGGAGAATGGACTAACTAGTCCTTTTTTAAAGACCTGGCTTACCACATCTACAGCCACCAATTCCTTAATTATCATCTGTGTGGGCTTGTTAGCTCCTCGGCTCTCTTGGTTTCACTAAGATCTGACTATTTGTTTCTTATCTTCTACATATAAATAACAGCATCCTTGTTTTCTAGTGTGGTCATTAATTCATCACTGTAGTATGTTATCACTGTTTTTTTCTATAACTTAAAGGAATTTTGGCAAATAACAACTGAAAGATCTCAAACTCTCTTAAACTCACACTTTGTAAGATAACTAGGTTGCTTGTACTTCCCTTTAAAAGATGTCAAACCCAGGTGTGGTAAAACACACCTATTATCCAGCACTCTGGGAGGCTGAGGCAAGGTGATTCCAAATTCAAGTCTCAGCCACACAACTTAACAAAATCCTGTCTCAAGAAAAAAAAAAAAAAAAAGGAAAGAAAGAAAGGAAGGACAGATGTCAAGTTGTAATCAAAACTGTGCTTGGACTTAATGCCACTCAATTCTCTACATTTCAAAACTGGTAAAGTAAATGCTATGTATATTTTACCATCAAAAAAAGTTTGCTTACATTCAAAACAAGGACAATTTTATAGGCAAAACAAATGTTAAAATAATATAGTATGTAAGGAAACCTGATAATAATGTATTTCCCTTGAAAACAAAAACAATTCTCAAATATGTTTCAACCTACACTGTCAATATGTGCCTCTGTAAGTTTTTTCTGTGCCTATGGGCAAAACTGTTATATGAGAATACTACTAGTCCTATTACTAAATTTGCAACCATTTTTTAAAAATGTTTTTTACAAAGCTAATTTTGGACCTCCACAAGTCTGTTACAGATCATTCCAATGCTGTCACAAAGCATTACAGAGAATCCTCCAAAGTTAAATGTTCCTACAATATGGCACAAAGCTTCTGTTTTCATGAGAATCATAGAAACCAAACATTTGTCTGAGAGCCCTATTAATGCTGCAATCACACCTACCTTCAGAATCACAGAACACTCATTAAAAATACATCACCTCCAAAAAATAAGCTTTGATCAATCTGAAGTGAAGCCTTCAAATCTTCACTTCTACAAAAACTGAAGCAGATTATAGGTAAATTTCTTTGGTTATTAAATTACATGTCTCCTTTTTGAGTAAAGAAACACAATCATGGGAAACAAAAGCTGAAAGATTATTAAAGATCTTATATCCTTATTATAAAAGCAATGAAGGTATACAAACACTAAGGATCACAAAAATTAATCTGCTTGTAAACTGGACTAAAAATCTACAAAGTATCCAATGGATTACACATATATTTAAATTTCTCAATTAAGCACAATAATATACTTTATTAATACCTTACAAGTAAACTAATCTTTATAAAGAATTATGCTTCCCACAAAAATTATTTAGTTGATCTTTCTTAACTTTCACTCTAAAACACTTACCTAGAAGCTGTTAGCTGTTACAAGATTCTTGCTATACAGGACTCTTTCTAAGTTTCATTTCTTAATCAGGTTACCACAGATAGTTTACTTTAAAAACCCTGATATAGTGCCAAAAGAACCAAATACTAATAAAATCAGACAAATTTATTATTTTTTACCTTGGCATTTCCACAGTACTTTAAAACAAAGGTGAAAAAAAGAAGGTTGATCAAGTCCTATTCATCTTAAAATTTAAGCTCCTGAGCAAAAACAGCTTTCTGCTAACTAAACAGATGACTAAATAAGAACCAAATTTTATAGTCTTCAACTAATCTTCCCTTATATGGGTTTGAATCGCTCAACTGGATCTAAATGCCTAATGTATTCTTCCATGTTAAAGGTAATCGAACCATGTAATCTTCCATGTTAAAGGTAAGTTACTATTAAAAAAAGTAGTAATAATGGTCCACAAAAATTGCACTTAAGCCTTGTTTTATAACACAAAAAGAGAAAAAAAAATCAAACAAATTCTACAAATACCCATACATTCATTCATTTCATGCCTTTTATTACTTAATATACCCATACATTTATACATCTAATGCTTTAAATTGTTGAAGAGCTAGTTTTATTGAAATAAAATCCTTCCTTAAAACCAGACAGAGTAAAGATTCAAAAAACAATGACCTTTGAATTCATACTCTGATAAGACAAGAGCACTGCTTTCTAGTCATACAGAAAGATGGTCATTTGAAAATAAATGACTTAAAAACAGATCATCCATTAGTGTTCTCTTCATTGAACATTTAGGTGCAGAAGCCATAAAAAGTTACAAAAAAATTTCGAAGAGAAATAATTCTTTTTTAAAAAAGAAAATGACTTGCTGCTTGGCTATTCAGGCAACGACATTAACAAAAGAACTAACACAACCACGGAAAACTTATTTATATTCAAATGTATTTTCAGGAAGATTCCAAGATTTGACACAAGCACAAAGAAAAAAAACAAACTAAGACAAGTATAAACAAGGTCAATTATAGACTGACCTCTATTTGAAATGTGCTTAAAAATATAGTTTACACTTTTTAAAAATAATGATTGAGAAAATTTTTTAATTCAAGTCTTCTCAATCATTTTGAAATACCTGTAAGTTGAATTCATACATTAAGGCAAATAATGATTTTAAGTATTCATTTAATTGATCAACTATTTAATTTAAATTGCTAATCTGGACAGAAAGTTTAAAAAAAAACATTTATTGCTACAAAGGGAAAGATTCACAAAAAGCTTTAAACTATCTTAACACAGATTACTAACCAATGTCCAAATGGTTTTAAAAAACTACACATAGCACAAAATACTTGCCCAATTTAGCTTATCTAGGGTAAGTATTCCCCAAAAATCAATGCATACTTGAAAATTCACTCAGGAGCAGCATTTAAGTTCAAATGATTAGAATAGATATACTATCAATATACACCTATTAACCTTAACACCAGTAAAGTAATAAAAATTAAGCTTAAAAATCATACAAACAATTTATTAGATTTTCTAAGTTTGGTAGCTATAAAAACTAAACTAAAAATAGTAATACCTCCATTTTATTAAACAAATGCCAAACATTTAGAAATTATATAAAACAATTTCAATGTGTGGAATGCATGCAACATGGGTGTTAATTCATTAATTTAAGCTATTAAAACTCTTACCCTTTTTTCCACAATAGGACAGAAATTTAAAGCTCCTTTTAAATCTAACACCTCATACTTAATTTTCTTCAGGTTGCTCAACAGGGAAATCAACAGGTTCTTCCTTTGCTGCTTCCTCCTCTTCCTCTTCCCCAGCTACCTCAACTTCACCCTCTGCTCTATCCTCACTCACCACTCCTCCTTCCTCCCCTCCCTCTGCATCCCCCTCTTCCTCTACTCCAACTTCTCCTGCTTCCTCCACTTCCTCGACTTCTTCTACTTCCTCTGCTTCCCCTGCTTCTTCTTCTTCCTCCTCTTCATCTTCCTCCTCTTCAATAGGTTCATCAATCTTTTCTTCATCCTCTTCATCTCCTTCTATTTGCTGATCCTGAGAATGATCTTGATTTTCAAAAGGGTTCTCACCCTAAAAACATAAAAAACAGCTTTTTAAATCAGCACTCATTTCTCCATCACTGAAATTATTTGCTCTGTCATGAAAGCTAAGTACTATCTGAAGTTTTTTCACTTAAGAAAAATCCAGTAAATATTTACTAAATATATACTTTTCTAACATTTGGATATATAATTTCCTAAGTCATTACATTACTCTCCATAAACTGAAATACTTAACAGAGTACTTAAAAGCTGTATTTTCTTTTCAACTGAATTTCTAAAATCACACATTAAAAATAAAAGACAAAATGTAGATTTTGGTAAAAATAAAACAGGTTAGACACAGATTTGCACTCTACTTAATTACAACTATTCAATGTATTATTGTAGGATCTCTTTAAATCTTAAATCAATATCAGGTACCTTGTTTTACCTACTAGATACTGGTTTTACTTCCACATAAAAAATCATGTCACTCATTCAGGAAACATTCACAGAGAAAGCCTCATTTTAGTAACTATATATCTGGGTCCAATCTCTCATAAATTGTATCATATCAGATTAATTACTATAGTAAGAAGCAATACAAGTTAATGAACAGGTTAAGTATTTAGACTGATGCTATACTTTAAAATGAACAGATACGAATGTGCAGGATAAAATGTAAGAGAACAACAATAGAGCTAGAGGTGTAGCTCACAGGTACAGTGTGCGCTTAGGAAGTCCATTGTTCAATTCTCTTGAATCAAAAAACAAACAAACAACAACAACAAAAAAAAAAGGAAAAAGATGACAAAGTGTTTGCCAAAACAGAGTTTCAAGAATAAGTGATATAAGACTGGAAGTGGTAGTGCATGCCTATACTCCTGGCACTCAGGAGGCTGAGGCAGAAAGAGCACCATAAAGTCAAGGCCAGCCTGGGTTACACAGTGAGTTCAAGGACAGTCTGAATTACATAGCTGTGAGACTCTGCATCCTCCTCCAATGTAATAAGTGATACATCAGTAATACCAAATAATGCAAACAGATAAAAGTAGAAATGAACTGAAAAATGTCATTAGAGTCATTACCAAAGCTAAATTGAAGTTCTCTAGGGTTTACTTTTATATATATATATATATATATATATATATAAACAACAGTATATTAAAAAATGTTAAAGACCTTCAGATATAATTGGGTCATAAGAAAATTTCAAATGTACCATGTACCTGCGAGTCAGAAGTAGCTAAGAATACACTGTCACAATTTCCTGTGAAGTTTGCAAAAAATTAAAGCCTGGCTCCCTACTCTGCGATTTCAACTTCATCAAGTACTAAGCTCCTACTAAAAACACTAATTCCTAAATCAAACTCAGATCACTTAAATCAAAATTTCCAGGGCAAGTCTGGTAACCTATATATTTAAAAGCATTTCAGGCAATATTATTCTCAAGAGTTTGAGAAATCCTATCAGATGACCTGAAAAAGGGCCTTGGCAATTTTATATATATATTTTTTTTAACAAACCCTTATGTTGAGGGCTTTCAGTTAATTGCAGCAAGGGGCCTGCTCTGCTGTATTCAAAACTCCAACCTCCATGGTATTTCTGTTAGCAAGAAAGAATGAATAAAGCCAACTATAAGTGGAATAGTGGTAGGAACTCATAAGAATTTTTGAAAAGCAGTGTTACATGTTGAAAGGATGACCATGAATACCCAGGACAGGTAATAATGGTAGAAAAAATGATACAACGAAAAAATTAGAAGAAATAGATGATACGATTATCTTAACAGGGATAAAGTTTAAAAGGGAATTTTGTCAGACTAAGAGCACGTGAAAGTAGCCATAACCAACCAGAGAATAAGAATGTTCTGGGGAATGATAATACGGAATAGAACAAACAGAAATCTTGAAAAAAGTTAAGTCACTGAATAATGTGACACCTAGGCTTCTGCATGCTAACTGGCAGGTAAATCTTCTTATAATCCCAGCACTCTTGAGAAGAAGAAGCAGGAAGATAACAAGATCAAACCCAACCTGACCAATTTAACAAGTTCCACTCTCAAAAGTAAAAGAAACTCAAACTGGGTGTGGTGGCTCACACCTGTAATCTCAGCACTCAGGAGCCGAGGCAGGAGAATCATTTTGAGTTCCAGACCATCCTGGGCTACAAAAGTGAGCTCAAAGCCAGCTTGAACTACATAGCAAGACCCTGTCTCAGAAAACCACAAGGAAAAAAAAAAAAAAAGGAAAAAAAGAAAAAGGCTGGGACCATGTGGGATCGGAATACCCATTTTGTTTTTTTTTTTTGTTTGTTTTTATACTGGGGATTGAACTCATCATCTTAGGCTTACCAGGCAAGCTTTGAACCACTGGGCTAAATCCCTCATGCTACCCAATTGTTTACATCTGAGTTTCCTAGTATTAGAGGGCAATCTTTCTCCTTGCTTCCTGATTTTACGAGTAAAAACTTATCTGACCTGCTGTGTCTCCTCTTCTTTTTCACAGAAGAGCTGAATACCTAGTGTGGTGGAAAAAAACACTGGACGTGTAGGACTCACACGTCCTTCTGGGTCCCCTAATGGGTCTTCCTACCAACACAAAGGGTACTCTTCTAGTCTATTCTATGCCATGTCAACTAGGGGAAGCCTATAGGGACACAGCTAGGTCAGTGACAGAAACTGGGGAAAGGTAAACTTAAGGAGTGAAACATTATAGATCTTAGTCACTACATATGTATGATCCAAAAGTATGGTGAATGTTTAACTCTTTAAAGATTTATTACAGTAAAAGATGTATTGCTACCTTTGGTCTCCCTCAAACTACTCCTCCTTTCTTACTTTCCTTTCTTTGAACACACTTATTCCATCATTCTTGACACTTTCTGAAGCAGTTATGGAAGTCCTCGTTACAGGCAGCTGAGCCAGTTAGAAATATAGGCAGTCTGACAGGGCTAGGCCCTCCAGGAAGCCAGCACAGAGCACCAGATATCTGATGACTTTGGAGGGCACACATACCTCTTGCTGTGGGCCAGATCTCAAGACAGAAGGCCAAATAAATGTAACCACACCTTTAAATATAATCCTTAGGGATTAAGTCTGGATCACCTTAAAGTCAGGAGTCCCCATTCCAATCCCTAGGGAACAGTCACTGCTCTCTGAGAATGCCCATTGCCTATGTGACTTGCTTTCCCATTTGTCCCTAATGTAATCAATTTTACCTGAACTACTGATTTTATTGGCTAACTACAGTTATGTCTCACCTTATGCCCATCTGCCTTGTGAGTTACCAGTTTTCCCCCACCTTAAACCCATGGTTTTACTTTATGAAAGTCCCTGGAAAAGACAAGAGTCCTTGATAACCTGTTCAGGACCCCTTCTGTCTCTCTTCAGACAGAAGTTTCTTTCTCTCAATAAATATATTCTACTCTTCACCTCCATTGTGCCTAATATTCACTCTTCAGTTTTCAAGAACACAAACTCACAGAGAAAATAGGTCGGGAGTCTCATTTCCCTGAATCACTCTTTACTTTCCTTTCTTTGAACATACTTATTCCATTATTCTTGCCACTTTCTGAAGCAGTTGTGGAAGTCATATCTTTAATTATGAGTACTATATTCATCAATGGATTAACTGGTAGACAGCAGGTAAAAGTGCCATTGGGGGGTGGAGCCTTGGGGTGGAGGCTCTAAGTGGAATGATGTCTTTCCCTCCCCAACTCCTCCCTTCTGTTTCCTAGGAGAGCAGCTTCCTCCTTAGCAGACCCTTCTACCATGCATATCCCATCTCAGAGTCAACTAACCATGAACTCAAACTGTGAACCAAAATAAACCTCTCTTCTTTGGTTGCAGATTTCAGGTACTTTTATCCCACCCAAACAGTGAAAGTGACTAAGTTGCGGCTACCCTTAACTGTCCTCAATCAATTCACCTTTTACCGTCATTTTGACTTTGGGGAAAAGCAAGAAGTCTCCTGGTCCCAGACTCTGTGAAGATGGTGCATCAGGAGACATTCTAATGTTTATAGGAGACTGCCATTCCACTGGATGGTACCTGGCAGTAGTAGCATTCACCACACACCATAAAGATACCCGGAAAAGAGAACTTCTAGAACAACTGGTTTAAGAAAGTGGCAACAACAATATGTTATGTGTTTCTGAAACAAGCAGGAGTATTTTGAGCGGCTTTTACTGTAATAGCTTTTTTTACTTGAAACATTCTCTGTATATTTTACTTTGATCACTCCTTGTATTCTCCAAGTCAGGTTTTTTAAACCAAGGATAAAGCTGATATTTCCCAACTTCTGTCCAATTCTGTATGAGGGACAAATCATTTTCTACTCATTTATAATCCCAACAATTAAAAAAATGTCAACTATATTCAATATATTAAGTTTCTATTATATTTCAGTATCACAAGGAGTTGTTCTAATTTTTTCAATAAAAAATGTCAATTATATTCAATATATTAAGTTTACATTATATTTCAGTATCACAAGGAGTTGTTCTAATTTTTTCAATATTACAGTATTTTTAAAAGTTTTTGCCCTCAAATCTTACCTTAACAAAACGTTCATACCGGGCCTTCACTATTGGATTATTTAAAATGCTTGTAGCAGTCAAGACACTCTCTCTTTTTATTTGTTCCTTATAAGCCTATGAAAAACAGAACACAATTAGGGTACTAGGAAGCCATACCATAAAAAGTTTATATAATTAAAACATTTTATATCCACATTCTCTGTTAAATGATTCCTTTTACAGCAAATTAAGCTACAGAGCAACAATAGCTATTGGGGCCACAATCTAAATCATATATGATTAAAACAATGAAGATCAACAAGCTAAATCAATTTAAATAAAGAACACACAGGTCTCAAATATCATAATTATAGATCTACTACAGATATGTAGTTGCTTTCTCTTTTAATCTATATATGTCTTAAGTCTGAAATACTAATTTTTAGAGCAATTTTCTTCAAGAGCAAGTAGTCTTTCTCTAGGTTACAGTTATCAACAGATTGTATTATACAGAAAAAAAGATAATATAGAATGTCTAGTTGCTAGGAAAGTGTCTAGGAAATATCAAGAGAAAAGACAAAACTATATTCTCGGCTGGTCCGAAGGTAGTGAGTTATCTCAATTGATTGTTCACAGTCAGTACAGATTGAACTCCTTGTTCTACTCTTTCCCCCCTTCTCACTACTGCACTTGACTAGTCTTAAAAAATAAATAAATAAATAAATAAAAAATAAAAAATAAAAAAAAGAAACTATATTCTCAAAGCATCTAAAAAAATCTGATTTTAAGGGGTAGGGATTCAGCTCAGTGGCGTAGTGTACTTGCCTGGCATGCGGTAGGTCCTAAGTTCAATCCCCCCCCCCCGCCCAAAATTCTGATTTTAATGAAGTTCAATACAAAATGTGAACTTAAGAGTCTGTTATCTTCTACTTAAAACTTAATGCTTTACTGCCATTTGAGGTTCTTGGGAGTTTTGGAGATAGTACTAAGGATTGAACCCAGGGACTTTGTACTGAGGGATTGAACCCAGGGACTTTGTACTGAGCTACAAGCCCTGGGCACTGTTTTTTTTTTTTTTTTTTTTAAAGACAGTACCGTGCTTACTTGCTGAATTCCCCAGGCTCACACTTGCAATTCTCCTACTCAGTTACCCAGACAGGTAATGTACCACTATCCTCAGCTACTATTTAAATCTTTAAATCTGCTTTACTAATTAAATAACTTCCCACAACATACACATTTGTGTTATCTCAAATAAATATGACTAAATAAGCCTAGCCAATATAACAAAAGTGACATTAAAAAATGTATTTTTCCAAGATATTCTCAAAAAATACAACAGATCGCAGTTGTATTCACTTTCTAAATTCATTTTTTCTAGCCATTAGAAGAAAAACATCATATTTTTTTGTTCTAAAACACAAGTTTAAAAAACCATCTGGTACCAATTTTAAAAGTAATAAAAATGCAAATCAATGACAACAATGACTTGAATGATTATTATTACCAAGTACCACTAAAGCTTACATGTTTTAGTTAATCTTTAACTAATGTTTACATAATCAGGTAAGAGAATACTTCCATCCTCATTTATAGATAAGGGAATTCCAAGAAAGATTCATTTTCTTCTCTAATTATTTACTGAACCATGATTAAAACTTGTAAAGTCTTGCTCAAACCCACAACTTAACCGTAACACAACACTTCCTCTAAACACATCTACAATTACTCAAATTTGAGACTGTGCTGGCTGGTATACGTGAAATAACTGTCAAGGGTTGATAAAGGATTTATGGGTATTTCAAGCATTTTATTAAGAAAAATCAAAACTTACCTGCTTCCCTTTGATATGATCAGGAGATTTTAAGTGCTGCTGAACTGAACTGTGTAAAGCTGGGATATATACACTGCAAGCACTGCAATGAACAGTCTCTACTTTCATCATGTGATCATCGGCAGTAACACCTATTAAGGAAATGATCCATATACTCTTATTTCTAAGATTTTACTACTTAAGTTTTCATGTTTATACCTTCTAAAACAAAAAATCAAGAGTACACAGGTTTATGTTGAATTCACCCACCAGTCTCAAATCTGCATATAGATTTGAAAAATTATAGCTAACTGGTTGAAATTGTAAGGTGTCATTACACTTTCTTAATTTTATTAAACACTCATACTATGAGGTTCAGTCTACCTTCCAAAAAAACATAACAGAAAGGAAAACAAATGTTGATTTTGTAGTATAATAAGAATATCCATGACTGTAAATTTAGGTGTTACAGGGCAGGGGGAAAAAGATGTCAAAATTTTAGGCAAAGAAAACAAGATTTATGTTGGATTTTGAAAATGATTACCAGAGTTTATTGAAGGCATTCAATAAAAACATTAGAAGGCATGGAACTATGTAAGAAAGTACCTTCTAAGAACAAAGTAATTCAGTATGAGTAGGCAGAGCATAAATAAAGAGCGAAGACTTTTTTAAAACATTAAAAAAAAGAGGACCTAAGTTATAGAGCTTTATGTACCAGACCTAAGAATGTGAATGTTGTTCTGCAGATGACAGACACTGAAATTTCCTAAAGTAATGAGACCATATGGTAGAATTAGAAATGAAACCAAAAAGAAACTAGTTAGAAAAATACTCTGTCAAAAGAACAGATAAAGATTTGAACAAATGCAATAAAGAGAGGTAAAAAAAAGATTTGTAAAAATTTTATAAATGAAAACTGTTAGGACAAAATGCTACAAATATCTTAGAGAAAGTACCTAGGAAATATTCCATACTTCTGCTTTGGTATGAGTGGGGCAACTTTTCAAGATGAATGAAAAGAACTTGTGTTTTGTTTTCTTTGCAGGGTGGGGCATGCCAAAGGACATTTAATAGTTACACTGATTTCATGTTAATAGGCAAGACATTAATAGGCAGTTAGAATCAATGAAACTACAGTTCAGAAGAGAGATTTGTGCTAGAAATACAGATGCATAAGTAACCAACATGTGGATAATAATTTAAGTGGTAGGTAAATGAGATGATCAGGAATGAAGGAGATTAATGATAGAGTTAATGACACAGTACTAGGGGAAAAAACCAAATCCTAAATAGCTGATGAGAGGAAAAATCATCACAAAAGATTTTAAAAAAAAAAAAAAAAAAGAGAGAGAGAAAATAAAGAGATCATTAAGCCAGTGAGGTACCAAGAAGGAAGTCAAGGGAAAAAGGAGAATGTAGTAAAAAATGCTACAGAAGTTTACGTTCCTAACTGCCTGAACACCTTCAGGAGACTGCTGATGGCAGAACATCTACTTTCAGTAGATAATGATGACATAAAATAATAAATGGGAGGTGAAGAAGCAGAAACCAGTGTTACTATGTTTAATCACAACCGTTTGCAAGTGATGTGGCGATATTAGTGCTTTCCTAAAAAAATGGTTTTTTTAAAAAAAGGTTATAAGAAAACTACCATTTTTTGTTTTTTTAATGTTTATATAAGCTTCAGAGACAGAATCAAGACTGAAAATAATCAAGTTCACATTTAAATTTGAGAAGGGATTAAGAGAGACAACAAAAGAAGTATTTTTTATGAAATATCTTCTAAATTGATAGGAGTAAATTGTAAGTAGTAGTGATAAATGTGTAACCACAGAAATAGGGCATCAAACGAGTTCATTTCTGATAACATACTTGCAGCGACATTATATAGAACTGGATACGTTATTATTCTGGACAGTATCATCCATATCGAAAACAGATCATGATATAAAATGTACATGTAAATTTCTAAAAGTGTATTTACCTTCCATTACATCTTTTTCAATTATTTTAACTTCTGTTTGATTATTTGTCTGTTGCTTACGAATGGATGTTTTCTTGAATTTATTCACCATACATTCCTAGAAAATACAAAGAAACCAAGTAGTTTTCAAGGAATACTTAGTATTTTCTTAGCACCATGTTCATCCTGGAAGACAAAATATCTAATATATAAGAACTATAATCTGTACTCAAGAAGCATAAAATTTAGGTGAGAAGTTATAAAATACTAAGAAGCTACAAAAAGTTCTAACTTTCCAAAATATATTTTAGGCAGATAGATAAAAACTAAACAGAGCTGAAAGAGTGAAAAGATCTCAAGTAGATGAGTAAGTCATAAATGGCAGAAAAGTATTAAGTAACAATGAAAAAATTTTAATTAGGAAACACAATTTTGCAAGGACAAAGAGCTCCAATTGATAATTGTATTTCTAACCTTCTAGTAATGTCATCTCCTCTGCCAAAATTATTTTATACACAGTTAGTGGTTGAGCTCAAGCCTCCTATTTTAGCATTCCTGGACCTAACATCCTTCCCTTCTCCAAGTCCCTGGAGTACATCTACATTTTTGACATTTCTACTCAAATTTACCATTTGTGTACCTGTGAATGTGTTCTATTTCCAATCATTTTTTATTTATTAAGATTAGTGTCTGTGGTCTTCAGTGCATGACACAACACATTCCACAGATATTAAAGAGAAAGAAACTCTTACATTGATGACCACACATTGGCAATACAAAGGACACTGAAAACAAAGATCAGGCCCCTGGAACTGAATGCATTCAGCCACTTACTGACAGGATCAGTTAGCTAAGCTGATCTTTTGATCATGATAAAATGAGCTACAATGAAGTTCACCTGAAACAATGAATTAAAGTTCTCAGCACAATGCAAGATATGCAGTAGGTGGAAGATGGATGATAGGTGGAAATCTGAATCAACAAATGGTTGTTAAAGAAATTCTTTGAAATGACACTTCTGTCAGAAACTACTATGAGAAATGTAAAATAATTTCTCAAATAACCAATCCAAACTTTATTACAACAGAACTAATATAAGTCTGAGTTAATTTTAACACAACTTTAAAAGAATAACTATTAAATTATTAGAAATACAGAGTAGGAGAGATAGGAAACTTAAATGAAGTAAATTCAGATCAGATAAAATGCTTATCCCATCTCAAACAGCTACTTACATGCAAGAATTCCATAACTATTTTATCAAATTTGGTTTGTTTTTGAATATGATCTAATGTTTCTTGGTGTGAAGAACTTTCCAGATGTAGTTCAATGTCTTTTTCTTCAAACGTTCGAAACTTACAAAATGAACATGTGAATGCCATTCTATAAGGAAAAAAATTTTTCTTTACATATGACTTTATTCACCCTGTAAAAAATTCTTAACAATGTTAACAGCATAGTCATTACATCACTTTGCATTTGTGGCCCACCCTGGAGCTTCTGAGTATGAAAAAAATGGACTCAGCAGATCTACAGTTATCCATTTCAAGTACAGATAAAGAGCCAAAGCAAACTTTAAAAAAAAATTATCATGTGCAAAGTTCCACAACTTACTCTACTCTGTTCCATCTTCAAGCATCTATATCATAAAGGTTTTATTACCAACAAAGCCAGTCAGCACACCAAACAACACTAAGGAGCTCCTGAGTGATTAAAAGTCCTGCCCACTAACATCCATTTCAGGATGACTAACAGTCCTGGACTAGATAAATGCACTTACGTAGGCCCCACCAGAAAGAATTCCCCATTAACTGTTTCTACTTCATGCAAGCTGATACTACTTCTTTTCCCTTGAATTATGACAACATTCTTCTAACTAGTTTCCAATTCAGTCTCCAGTTTCCAATTAATTCTTTACACTGCTATTAGATATATTTTCCTGGTTGAGTACTGGCTCTAAAGATAACTTGCTGGGTTTATATCCTGACTCTTTTGTGACCTTGAGGATTCTCAACTTCTTTCCCCTTAGTTTGCTTAACAAAGTGAGAATCCTCATAGAAGTGTTATCACTATTAAAAACAAATATTAACATAGATAAGAGCCCCAGCATATAGTAATCACTGAATAACTTGCTAAAGGAAGTAACACTATTATCATTGCTCAAAGGCTTCATTAGCTCCTCAAAAAAAAGTTAAATGGTTTTGCCTGTGCTAGGCAAATACTGTATCACCGAGGTACATGTCCAGTGCATTTTTATTTTTAGACAAAGTTTTAATAAATTAACCACGCTGGCCTTTAACTTGTGATCCTCCCGCCTCCACCTCTGAGTAGCTAGAATTTCAAACTGCTCAGCTAGGAATTCTTTTTATGAATTACTATTAATTCTTAATCAAGTTAATCCTATCTTTTCTCAAATCACAATGACTTAAGGAACAACAAACCTGAAAGAACAATTTATTAAATCTAGATACAAAAAGCACAAAGTATACCTAAAAGACGAAAATTGTCAAACAAACAAAAATTATCTGGGAAATGAGATGCAAATGAATTTTCTTTTACTGCAATTTCCAAAAACAAATCTAACATATATTATCAAAACCAAGTAGGGCCAGATGTTTAGCTCAGCAACATAGGTGCCTGCCTGGCAAGCACAATGTCCTAAATTCAATCCCAGGTACAAAAAAAAAAAAGACCAAGTAATGGCAAAGGGTTCCTGTTTACTATGGAAAGGAACCCATACTTAAGAAGAATCTCCATTAAAAGGTTTTCATGTTCTCAATTTTGTCTTTTAAAGATCAGATTCACCTACATGACACAATTCATTCTTTTCCTGTCACAGAAGTCAATTTTTAAAGAACAAAACTGTATTTTCAATGAGTAATACACTAAATTTACTTTTTAAATTTTATATTATTTCTTTTCCTAGCATAAGTAGTTCCAGGAAAACTTCAGATAGCAATGAAAAAACTATCCATTGTGATCCTTTTAAAAAAATTCCCTAGCTTTTTTCTATGGGTAATTTGCATTTCATATACATTATTTTTTTGCCTGCATTCACTCCACACTATTATAGTTTTGTAATCTTCATTTTAAACAGTGACCTAAAAGCCCTTAAAAGGATATGGCAAACTTTATATACACTTAATTACCCTATTGCTGGCAATTGTTTCATATTTGGAGCAATTACAAACAATGCTGTAATGGGCATTTTTGTAGATTAGACTCATACTCTTAGATTATCTTCTTGGGAAAAATCAAGAAGTATAAAGAAATTTAACACATCTTAAAAATTGTTAATTGCTTTCCAGTAGTTATAACATTATACAGTCACCAGCAAAATACCACCATCCCATGACTGCACTTTAGCAAATCAGTGTTTTCCTAATAGCTCACTACTGTTTACATTTTTAGTTTATCTAAATTGTTGAAAGTTTCCACACTTTCCTAATATTATCTAGCTATTGTTCCTTCACCAAATTATGTATTACACATCTTAGTTCTCTTACTTTTTTTTTGTCTTTTTCTTTTTTATCAGTACCAAGGATCAAACTCACGACCACACACTTGCAAGGCAGGCGCTTATGCCGCTGAGCTAAATCCCCAGGCCCAGTTCTCTTACTTTTTAAAAGAAAAAAAATTTTTTTTACTTTGGGTGTGGTAGCTAGTTTAGATATTAGTCATTTTTCATATTTTCCAAAACTGTCTTTCAATTCTTTGAGTAAATCTGTGCCTCATTTCTTTTGTAATTTATTAAATAACTTTTAAATCAAGTAAATAACCCCTTCAGGAAGAGTAAAATATTTCATTTTACTTTCATAATTTTTTTTAGGTTTTTTAATTTGCCTGGATTCATTTCAAATGGTATAAGCTCTAAATTCTTACTTTTTACTTCTTCAGTCAAATCTCCTTTTGCCTGTAGCATCTCCTTTACTATTTACAAATGTACTCTGTTCATAAGCTAATAATTCTACTACACACACTAGCTTTGTCTATGAGCACTTCCATGTGTATGCATGCACACACCCACAATGCTGTAGATTAAACCTATGGTCATGTTCATGTTAGGCAAGCACTCTACCATGCAGCAACATCCCTAGTCCCTACTGCACATTTTTAACTATTAGTCTCTTAATGATTCAGTATCTAGAAGAGGTAGTACCTTCTCATTACTTTTCTTTTTCACAATTTTTTTGGGATCAGAATTGGAAAGAATTTAAAACACCTCTAATATTTTGATTCCCTTTTCAAAAAAGTATCACTATCTCCACATGGTTAATTCTCAACACTATATTTTCTTCACATGTATTTTTTAATAATACTGTTATTTCTGTATATTTTAAATTCTGAATTACCATTGTAAATAGGATCTTTTTTCTCTACTAAATACTGATTTATATATAAATATTAAATATCATCTGTGGCCAGTCGTGGTGCTATATGCCTGTAATCCCAGCATTAAGGAGGCTGGTTCAGTCTAAACTACACCATGAGACCCTCTCAAAAATAAATAAATATCATCTATGTATCTTTGATCAAATCTTATCATTCAACATTGAAAATTTTTCATATTCCAAGTCATGTATTTACCTTTTCTAGAAAATTATTTAGCAGGCTCAATTTTTGACTTACTAAAACACAAACCTGTATCCATCTCCATACTTCTCGCTGTTTTTCTCTCTTCGGCGCCTCTGTTTTTCTCGCCGTGCCTCAATTCGACGCTTTTCTTCTTCTTCATTTTTTGCATCAGTTTTTGCTAGAATATCAGATAAAATATTACAACTAAAACTCATTTTTCCATTTACTTTTCCAAAGTACACATATACAGTTTATTACAAAAGTATAGATACACAAGTTAGTAATTATAATCTAAAGTTTGAGACTATCAAGCATTTCTCAAACTTGATTCATTTTAATAATCATGAATATTATCATATTCACTTATGTGATCATCTACTACACATTTGCACTAAATGCCTTCACTTTTTTTCCTTAGCATTTCTCTAAGCAATAATATCCGTAAGCTAACTAAAATAATACTGAATTCATTGCATACTCTAAACACTGAAATAGCCAAGGAACACAAGACAGCCCTAGATCCAAGAACTCATATTCACACTCAAATCATAGGAGATGCCCCAGTTTCTTGTAACACTTCAAAATAAAAGGTTCTTTCCTTTTAATTATTACGGTAACGATATTCACCATTTTAAAGTCTACAATTCCGTAGCATTAAGCACATTCACATGTTGTACAGCCATCACCACTAACTATACAGCTCCACAACTATTCATCCCTCGAACACTCCAGTAGCTGTTAGTCACTCCCTGTTCAACCCTACCTCTAAAGTTCTGAAAACTACTTATATCTTCTTTCAGCATTCTGGATATTTCATTTAAAAAGAATCATAATCTCTTGCCTTTCTTCCCCCCTGGTTTTTTTTATTTAACATGTATTCAAAATTCATCCATGTTGTATCACATACTTTTTATGGTTTACTAACATTCCACTGTATGAACACACTTTTATCCATTCATCTGCTGGTAACATCTAGACTGTTTTCATCTTTTTGTTATTATGAGTAATATCTCTACAAACACTGGTAAATAAGTCTGTGAATATCTCTTTCTAATTCCTTGGGCTATATGGCTGGTTGAGTTTAGTCTGAGAAACCATCAGTTTCCCAAAACAACTGTACTTTACATTCCTACCACAGTGTGAGGTGCCAGTCTCTACACATCTTTGTCACTACCGGTTCGTTTATATTCTATGACTACTAAAATGGATATAGTGGCATCTCACTGTAAGCAGATTCTTTCTTACAATACATTAAATTTTATATTTTTAAAAAGTATCTTCCATATTTGCCATTAAACCTTAAACCTGACAGTACAGAAGTATTTGTTAAACACCTGCTAAGTATACAATGGAATAAGTTCCAAATTATATAAAAACAATAAAGTTTAACATTTAGATTATTTTGTAAGAATTTAAATGTATATTCTTATTTTATTAACCATTTTCAATATCCTTGTTCACAGACTTCCCTAAAACACTCACTCTACAAAAATCCCACTTACCTGCTACATCAAATGATAATGATTCTTTCCTACAAGTCTAGATTATTTAACAAGACCTTATATTTTAGAAAATTTAGTAGCTATCTTTTAAAATGCCCACTTTACACCTGATAGAGAAGACCTAATTTAACTAAAAACTGTGTTTTCATTTTTAGACCCTTTACACTACTCTCCAGTGTTATTAAAAAGAAAAAAGGCAGAGAAGCAGGAACACAATATATCTGCTTTAACAGTAAATCAATTTCTGTATTAAACTTTGAGATACTTACTTAATTAGATATACCTGTGAAGTTTAAAATCCTTCCCAACACTAACTAAATTGCCTTATTCAAGTAATACCAAGTAAAAACATTATTTTTCAAATAATGATCACTGAATGCACCCCCACAACATACACTACACTTAAATGTCAGGTTTTTAGAATATTGTTATTTCTTATTAAACAATAAGTACCAATTATAAAACAGTACAGAAAAGTAGATTTAAGTATAGCATTTAACCTTTTCTTGAGTTTTGTTATAGCTCATTTATTTTGAGTAAAGAATGTAACACTATAACTACAATTTTTATAAGAAATTAAAATGTCTTTAACATTACAATTAGGGAAAAACTGCTTAAAAATGAAAGGAAAAAAATAATACAAAACTAATTTGTTAAATCATATGGAAGTTTAACAACAGGGGTTTTCTACAGCATGACTTGCCCTGGAATAAATCTTGGCTTGTCATTTATTGGTTTTCTGACCTGGGCAACAAAATGTGCATCTGCTCCGTTCAAGTTTGTCAACTGTAGGAGATATGATACACTTATCTTCACCTGAGCAGCCTATTGTCAAAATTACACAAGTCATACATCCAATGCTCTTTAACACAGAGCATAATGTGTAGTAAGCATTCAGGAAGAGGTAGGTTACTATTATTACTATAATCCTAAATCAATAAAACTGGATACATTTACCAACCTTTAAGCAATTTAAATGGGGAAAAAAATGAAACAAAAACATTACTGGTAGGGCCAGAAATTTTGCTCAGTGGCTCCAGTACTTGCCTGGTAAGTGTGAAGTTGTGAATTCAATCCCCAGCACCAAAAACAAACAAACAAACAAACAAGCAAATAAATAAATAAAACACTACTGGTATTTTAAAAATATGTGTAGGTTTTTTTTTTTAAGTTTTCATTTGGGTTTTGCTTGTTTTGAGACAAGGTCTTACTATGTAGTTTAGGTCTATCAAACTTACTGTGTATATAGCCCAGGCTGGCCTCAAACTCGTGGTGATACTCCTGCCTCAACCTCCCAAGTGCTGGGATTACGTTATGTGTGCCACCACACCCAGTAAAACAAAAACCTAGTTTTAAACTAGGACTTATTTTGGTCTCTAAGCTTTTCTCCCTTTTTTCGGGGGTACTTATTTGAAAGCTATCACTTTTTTAGCAATTACACCAGCAAGGTTCATACTATAACAAATTCAATGTAACACTCACTAGTTCTTATTTTTAAAACTGGATATAAAGAAATGCATTCTTTCACAGAATAACTTTAACATATTCATTTTATTACAATTATCCAAACTTCCTTCTGCTTCAACTGACTCAGGTTACTATTAATTATAAAAAATAGAATTTTTGCACCTTCACAATATCATCTATTTAGCAAAAACAATTATAGCAGAATAAAAATAATTCAGTACACAGGCAAAAACAGGTGAAATACTTGTTACATATTATTTAACTATTACACATTTTCACACAAAACAGTGAAAAAGAAATCTCCTTAGCTTTTTTATTAATATTCTTGGATTAATCAAAATTGTTCAACTATACTTGATCTGATCTAGACACAATACATTTGAAAAACAAAGATGATAATGAATAAACAATTTTAAAATCTAAGAGTAAAATTCATTCATTTCAAATATATAGTCCAATGGTTTTCAGTATGTTCACAGGTATGTTTCAACCATTATCACAATCAATTTTAGAACATATTTATCACCTAAAAAGAAACAAAGTACCAAGCCAGGGACACAGCTCAGTACCCGCCTGGCAAGCATAGGTCCTGAGTTCAATTCCCAGTACCATAAAAAAAGAAAAGGAGTGGGGCTGGGGATTTAGCTCAGTGGCATAAGCGCCTGCCTTGCAAGCAGGCAGTCGTGAGTTCGACCTCTGGTATCAATAAAAACGAAAAAGACAAAAAAAGGAGTAACTTCATGTATCACCTCTCATGCATCCAATCCCTACCCTATAGCCCAAAACAACTACTATTTTCTATCTCCATAGATTTCCCTGCTTTGGACAGTCATTAAAAATGAATCATATAATCTGTGTACTTTTTTGACTAGCTTCTTTCATTTACCATAACCCTTTCAAGGTTCATTCAAGGTACAGCATGCACGGTATCAGCACTTTATTCTACTCTATGGCTGAGTTAATACTCCATTATATGGCATATCATGTCTTGTTTATCTAATTATCCCTTGATGGATACCTGGATTTTTTTTTTTTCACCTTTGGGTCACTCTGTATAATGCTACTATCAATATCCATATAGTCACGACAGTGGCATATTCTGAGAATGCATCATTAGACTACTGCACTATGTGATTACAGAGTGCACACATACAATCCCAGATGGTACAGTCTCTATACACCTATGGTATATGGCATATACCACTGTCTATGCAATCAGTGATCAAAACATTGTCATGTGCCACATAATATGCAGACTCGTATTTTTCACTTATCTTGAATAGATACCTGAGAGCAGAATTGTTGAGTCACATAATTCTCTTTAATCATCTGAGCCATTTCTGGGTAGTTTTCCAAAGTAGCTCCCTTATTTTATATTGTTACCAGCAGTGTATGAGGGTTCTAAATTTTTCTACTCCTTCCTAAGGCCTATTACAGTTTATTCTAGCCAGCCTGATCGATATAAACTTATACCTTATTGTGGTCTTTCATTTGTATTTATCTGATAACTAATTACTGTGGCTTTTTAGCCATTACATAACTTTTAGGGAAGACATGATTACTCAGAGTTTTTGTCTACTTTTTAATTGAGTTATCTTTTATTGAGTTGTAAACATTCTCTGTATTTTATATTTTCCTTTATCAGACACCTGATTTGCAAAAGTATTTTCTTCTACAGTATGGGTTGCCTTTTCATTTTCTCCTGTCGGTGTGCATTAAAACACAAAAGTTATTTTGATGCAGTTTGATTTATCTATTTTCTTATTTGTTGCTCAGGCTTTTAGTATACTACCTAAGAATTCCTTGTCAAATTCAAAATCATGGAGATTTATTCCTATATCTTATAAGAATTGTATAGTCTTAGTTCTTGCAAGGTCTTGCATTTTACATGTGGTTAGCCAATTATGCTAGTACTATATGTGAAAAAGACTATTCTTTTCCATAGAACAATCTTTTTTTCTCTTTTTTTTGTTTTTGTTTTTGTTTTTGAGACAAGGTCTTGTTACATAGTTCAGGCTAATCTTGAACTCACTACGGAGCCCAGATTGGCCTCAAACTTGAGGCAATCTTCCTGCCTCAGCCTCCCAGGTGCTGTGTAGGCATGCGCCAACATAGAGCAGTCTTCACAACTCATTAAAAACGGTTAACCACAGCTGTATGTGTTTACTTCTGGAATTTCAATTCTATCCCACTAATTATATGCCTACGTGCCAATACCACTGTTGTCTTGATTATTGTTCCTCTGAAGTTAACTAAGTTTTGAAACAGCAAAGTGTGTCTATGACTATACCACCCTGAACACATACAATCTCATCTGAAATACTATAGTATGAGTCTTTAGCTGAAATTTCTGGTAGGTATTACACTGAAATCTCTACAGCAGTTCAAAAAATAATGCCATTTTGACAATATTATCTTCATCTAGTTTCAGTTTTCCAGTTTTTGAGACCTTTAATTTCTTTTAAGAATGTTTTATAATTTTCATAGTATATTTTGTACTTTTGTTAAATTTATTCCCAAGTATTTATTCTTGATGCTATGATAAATGAAATTATCTCAATTCCATTTTCAGACTGACTCAAAATTTGTAAGTCAGGTCTGAGGATTTAGCTCAGTGGCTCAAGCACTTGCCTAGTAAGTATGAGATCATGGGTTCAATTTCCGGTACCAAAAAAAAAAATAACAAAACAAAATTTGTAAGTCAATGTAAAAATAGAAATATTATTACTTCTAAGTTCCATAATATCCAGAAGATTAAAAGCAAATTAATTGGGCTAGGGATATGGTTCAGTGACATGTCTACCTGGCGAATGCAAGGTCCCAAGTTTGATTCCCAGTACCCAAATAAATAAATAAATAATGCAAGAAATTCATTTTCTGAAGAAACACAGTTTGTCCTAGTACCAACAACTTTAAAATTTTCTTCCCCTTCTCCTCACATATTGTCATGTGATACAACATGTCACTTCCTTAACAATACCTTCAACAGTAAATGTAACAACCCAGAAAGGAGTCTGAATTAAAATCACACAAAAGGCCATCCTAAAAATACAGAAGCTGTCAGATAAGGGATATGAATTTTAAGTAGTCTATGTGGATAGTTACCACTGATAAATAACTCTAGTAGGGAAGTCACAGATCTAATTTCCATAGTTAAAATTATGTACTTTGTACAATACTGAAAAATTACCTTAAAACAATGAATTTTTAAAACCAAGATATATCCTGAACCATAACAGTTATGTTTTCTTACTTACTAGGTGATTTGCTGAGGCTCATCTTTTCCATAGGTTTTGCTAGCTTAGGTTTCTTGATAAAGGTTCCACCAGGCTTATTAAATGGCTGCATCATTTTTCTTTTTATTCCTCTTGCAGCAGCAACAGTCACATTAGTGGATTTATTTTGATAGTCAATAACAATTCCGGGTCTATGAATGCTTCCAAAATCAGCCATATGCTGTAAATTTGTGAAATCAAGAGAAATATTAGTATACTAACCAAAGATAAAATATAAACTCATATAAAAACTATCATGTTATATCTATGTACTAGTTTTCACCTGAAAATTCCCTGGAGTGTAACTAAATTTTACGTGTCCACTCTGGAAAAACGCATTAAAAAATTCTGTAAGTAAGTACATGAACTCAAATCCAATGAGTTAGTAATTTCATTTCCAGTAGAACAAATGTGGATATTTCCTACCGGTTTTTTGACTTTCACAATTCAATATTATTTGAGATCATAAACACATATGTGCCTGTCAGAAGATTACCACTTGTACAACTCTCTGACAACTCCTCTTCAGAGTTCCTAATTGATGTTTTCCCATGAAAAGACCTTAAAAGAAATCTTTATTTTTACTAAAACCTGCCTTGAAACTAAGATACACAGAGAAGATCATATTTGTAGTGTGATGTTAAAAAGATCCAGAAATCATTTAGAATTTCTCCCTGTTGAAGAAGGGAATGAGAAGGCGAGATGGAACATTAGTATGAAATAGGAGAGTTAAAGCATAACCATGCATCAACTTCCAAAACACATTAAAGAACTGCATCTGACGTTCCATTCACATTCTTACCTAAAGAAACATTCTGACCCAGAAACCCAAGCAAACGTTTGCAGATGAAGAATCATCCCATCAAACGACTCTGTGTCCCTTCCTCTTCTCTTGCCATTAACAAAACCCACTACAAGAGGCCACATGTCCACAGAAATTTACCCATGTAATCTTATTTTAGAAGGTAAAGATTGAGGAGTAATCTGAAGAGAAGGACCCAATGGGAATTGTACAAGTGAAGATTAAAAATGAAGATCCTATTTGTTATTTACTTCATAACCAGGAGAAAAGAAAGAAATGTCCATTCGGACTAGAATAGTAAATATGAACTACAGAAATACTTCTTCTACTAATATAAAAACAAAACTAGTATTTGATGTCTCATTAAGAAAAACATCCTTTGCCTAAAATGATATGCAACAGGGAAATGTTAACTACCTTCCAAATTTTCAAACTGGAATGGATTTTCAATTTCAAAACCAAAAGCCTATGCTCAATTTTCAGTTAACCTACAACACCAAGTATAATGGGAGAGCAACACAGTTGCTTACATTTGCATATTATTCTTAGGAATACCTATCTAACCTAGTAGAGCTGAATAAATGTTTCCAGGTAATTTACATAATCATTAATTATCTAATTAAAGGTGCAATGCATTTTACATAAGACTAACAGTTAAAACTGCAAAATTCCTACACAAGTATGACAAACTCACCGGTGTACCAAAAGTTATTGAAGTAAACAATGTGTATCTTACATTTTTTTTAATCAGAAATAACTTCTGAAAGACAATGTTAAGAACTGACTCTCAAAAAAACTTCTAACATTATACCAAAAATACAGTAGCCTTTATATGATCAAACTACAAAAATCCCACACTCGACGAGGCAAAATTTCCCATCAATCAAGTTACCGAAGAACATAAAGCATAATTTTTACACTATGTATCCTGAAATTAAACACCTGCAACCTAGTATATTCACTCACTTAAACAATAACTTACAAAGTACTACTTCCTTAGGAGCCATAAATATGTGTAATCAGCTAGGTAAATACTTCTCGATAGTCAAGTTAGCGATACAAGAACTAAAACAACTGCCAACTAAACATATTGCAAGAAGGTTGACAAAATTATACTGGCCACAAATAATTCTACAACCTATTACACATCAACTTCTTCACAATGTAAATGTAGCTAAGCTATACTGAACTATCACCAACTTACAGTCTCTTGTGTTTAATGTGAAACATCACACTTTGAGGAAATTCTATTAGCTAGAGTTTAGTAACAAACTATAAATATTTTATCATACATTGCACCTTTAACCTACTCAAAAATTCAAAAAGGATGCAGTTATCTTTTACAATAATCCAAGAACTGTCCCACCAGCAAAACTGCTAGTGTTTACAAAGGAAATTGCAACTCCTTTTAACCCCTTTTAGACCAAACCTAACAGCCTCACCTTTTTTATAAAGGGAGATTCGGCATAACTTTACAATGATCTCAAACTGCCACTTGATTTCTAAGGTGCTAGAAAAACTTTTATAGTCAACCTAACACTTACGTTTATGGCTCTGCTTTTTCTTAAAATACACTGGGACAAACAGTGTTTATTCTAATTGAAAACCATGGTCTTGAAAGGGTTTAAAAGAGTGACTAGTGAAAAGAATCTGAAAAGATTCTGTTGTACTTACTCCTCGGCCTCGGCCTCTGCCTGTTGATGGTCCTCCAAAAGCATCATAGTTTCTGCTTCCAAACGTACTTTCAGGATAAGCAGGCGTTCCTCTCCCCCGAGAGCCTACAGGTGCAGGCTTCATATGGGGTGAAGAAAAACTGCTGTAGGAAGAGTAATTCTCTCTTCCTCTGTCCTCCATAAACCCAGGCCTCAATTTTGAACGGGAGTAAGGTGCTTCCCAGCTAGACCCGCCCTGGTTTCTACCTCCGAAAGAGTCAAGGCTATTCCGGTAGGAGCTCTCAAATCGACCACCATAACTACCTCCGAAGCGGCTTTGTTCGGGTTCATTAAAACCATAGCCAGATCTGTACAGATCTCGCCCACCCAGAGAAGACCTGGAGTCGTAAGACTCATAAGGTCCAAACCTGGAAAAGTTGCACAGTGAGGGAAAAAACAAAAGTAAGCTTACTAATGTTAGACAATTCAAAAGACAAATTATCAGATGACATTTATCAACTAAAATTCATATATACCATTGTGGTTTGCACAGTTCTACTTTTGATCACACTTGATTAGGGCTGGGCAGTTCAACGTGAGATCAGATAGAAAGCTATCTGAATCAGTTTGTAAATATGAATTGAGTTTAATAAACCTTAGCTTAAGAATCTTTTTAGCAGCTTTTCTACTTTATCATGAAGAAATCATTTGTCTTTCATTATTTAAGCCCAGCCCTAGTCTTAGAAAAGGTCATTTGCTAAAGTTCACAAGCTATTCAAACATTCTTTGAATCCACCCCTAATACTGAAAATTACAAAGCAGGTACGACATTTTGGCTTTCCATAGGAACACAAACTGAAGACTGATTAGATGTAGGCTATCTGTGACACAGAGCAATCCTTTTGCACCCTAGTAATCTTTATCACAAAACCACCTCATTTGTGTCTAAATAAACTTTAAGGAATTATCTTAGGTTGTAAAATCTGACATTCTACCAAACTTCAGCCAAGATCAAAAATCGATCCCTAATCATTTTTTACTTATACACTAATAAAAGTAACAAATATAAGAGAATAAAAACACATAAAATAGAATATAAAAGTGAAAGATCAATAACATATACCCTCTGCATTTGAATTTTCAAGGCAGATGAGAAAGAATATATTTTACAATGTCTTCAGTTACTTGAAAAATTATTTACTATCAGAAAATTATCACAAAAACTACTCTTAAAAAAGGGAGTACAGAATCTCAAGGTTTTAAGTCAACAGAAAAAACAAATCTTCTCACAAATCCTAAACATAGATTACAAAAGCTGCTTGTTATCTTACAATACAGTTTTATAAAGGCCTACAATTACACAAGATAAACGGTAACATTTACAGAAACAGATTATACACAATACACTTGCAATGTAATAAGACAATAATTGACATACTGAAACATTTAAATATAATACATTACTTTAATTATTTACAGATCCTAAATAGAAGAAACTATTCACTTCTGAATCCTAGTAGCCACTTAAAAAATTCCTTTCCTAGCTACAAATCTCAAACTTTATATCACAAAACGAAAATTACAAACTGTTCATTTTCTTCATTTTTCTCTACTATAAACCATAGTGACACATTTCAAACAGAAAGAAGAAAAGTAAGCATCGTTCAGTCCATTATTAAGGAATCAAAATCCTTCAATTTAAGAGGAAGGACAATGGTTTAAAATATCTCCTAACTAGTTTTGCTTATTACTTAGCAGGAAACTTTGTGCCTCAAAAAATGAACCAACCCCCTTTTCTTAAAAAACCTCAACTCTACAACCTGTAATTAAGTGTGAGTTTTACACAGCATCAACAGTGAAATATAAATACAATCTAGAGTGTACTGAAGGTATTGGTATTCATGGCTTTAACACAATGCTCCTAACCTTGAGCACAAGTGTTTTTGGTTTTAAGTAATAACTACCAATACATAATTTGGGAGTATTTTTTATTACATGTTCCTGCAACTCAACCTTAAAATTAAAAATTTTTTAAAATTTATCTTAAATGTTTCTTAGAAATTGAATGTTGTTAGATGGTTCAGTGAAGCCCCCTCTAATCAGACAGTTTTGGTGCTTTACACAGCAATCCCCCACTAGAAAAAAAATTTTTTTAATCATTAAAAGCTTCACAAATAATATTTCCAGCAACGTATTTTTATGTCATTTGCTTAGGACATTTTCAATGAAAAGGAGTTAAAAGTAAAAGAAATTTTAAGATGTTCACTGTTAAAAACAGACTATCTTACTCTATTATACTAAAGTGTTAACAGTTATCTGGGATTTTCCTAAAATGCCTGCCAGTGATCCTTTGACAATTTTTATAACCACTAACACCTTGAAACATTTAAGGTGATTATTCGACGCCTCGCAATGAAATTTAAGTATTATAACATGCCTAAGGAATACTTAAAATACATCCAGAATCTTATCGTTGTCTATTTGGCCAAGTGATTAATCAATTTACCTGCTACCCCCACCACCACCACTGTGATTGTCCATGCCATATGACTGGTTTAGGTAGGAATCCATGGATCTTTGACCCCCATAGGATCCATGGCCATAGTCACGATCCATCCCTACAAGAGTTTAAAAAGAAAAAAATTAAACGCTGCTCACCTTTCCTGGCACTCAAAAGAAGAAATTTTAGATAAATATCCTTGAATGTCAGACCTCCATAGGATCCTGGGCCAAAATCACGATCCATTCCTATAAGAAAGTCAGTAAAAACTTTGTCAGTAAAACATGCTGTTCTCTTCAAAAACTTTGCAAAAACACAATGTTTTCACATCAATGGCTTAAGATAATAATGTATAATTAACACTTAAATTTACATAAAAGACACTGAAATAAAAAGCACCGAAACAATAATATTGGAAAACTGTATTTGCTAACAAAGCTTGGTATTTCAAAGAAAAAGGCATTAAGTATAATAAAAAAATTCCATTAATCAATTTAATTAATACTTATTTGACTAGAAGACATTTTTAAGACTTTGTATTTGATATTACAATGTATATAATAAGTAATTCCTATTCTTAAGGAAAGTCAGCATTTAGTATCAAAAAGAGCTTTTGATCTAAGCATACTATGACATAAACACACTGCATTTGTTTTCTGTGTCTAATTCTCTCAAGCTGTCTAAAAACTCAAAAGCAGCCATATTTTCAATTAGCCATGTTCACAAGTAACTGAAACAGTATTTTTAAAAATAGAATCACAGAATGGCACCAGTCTTTGGCACCATATCTGTAAACAATAATGACTCAACATGTACTTAAATTCTCAAATTCCCCTGAATAAAGAAGATGACTATGAATTCTAGCAACACAACAGGGTACCAGGTATATTTTATTACACTATAATTCCACCTATATTCCAACTTCTCTTATAAAAAAGGTAACACTAACTATAAAAATAAAAGATTACAGTAACTATAAAAGTGAAAAATAAAATACTAGTTTGTGGTAGAATTCATTTTCTATAAAATCCCTTAAAATATTTCATTACTCTTTGCCATACCTTATACATAAGTAAATACAATATTACACACAGAGCAAATACTTTATATTTTAACACTAAACTTTACTTATAATCATTTCACATTTCTAATCTTGAGTAACAATATGACATTTTTACCAAAATACTACTCAGAATCTTGCAATTTTAAACCTGTAAGCAACTAAAACAATAAAATTTAATCTTCTCACTTTAAAGTCCAAGGAGATAAAATGATTTTCTCAGTCTCATGGCATCCTTTTACTTCCCTCATACTGCTGCTTCTATGTGAAAATTTTTCATCTATAACCCCAAATACTTGTTTATTGAAATCTTTTGGTCTTTTAAAGTTTACTTCAAATACTAACCATTCTCAGATACCTTTGACTTGATACTGTCTCACATATCACCTTTCTTCTACTGACAAAAACCTGTAGGTATCAGGTGGTATTCTTAATATGCTTATATTCTGCTCTTTCCGGCCTTCATCTTGATTTACACTACTAGTTTTGTGGTAAGGATCCAATTTTTACTGATTTTTTTTCATATATCTAAAGTGGTAGTTCTCACAGAATGATCTGCTGATTGCTAGGAATTACTAAGACCTCTTTTTCAAAGGGTCCACAAGGTCAAAGCTATTTTCATAAACAATACTAGAGCATTATCTGCTTTTTTCATGGTATTGACATTTTCAATGATGGTAGAAAAGCACTGGCTGATAAAACTGCTGGCACTTGAACACAAATCAAGGTAGTGGCACTGTTACATTATACTCTTTGATGTCACATGTCCACAGTAAAAAATAATAAAATAAAAATGTCACTTTCACTGAAAATGTCCTTGAAGCTGTTGTGAAGGCCCTGTGATCAATCCCCAGTACTCTGATATAACAGTGGGAAGTATATACTATATAAGTATATAGTATATGGTAAGAATATAGATATATGCTGCATCTCATTACAAAGGACAATTATAAGAATATAGTTTTCAACATAAAAAGTTTCCTTCTAATCCACATTTAAAAATAATCCTAAAACTAGGCTTTGTCAACTGCACAAAGCAAAAAAAAAAAAAAAAAAAAACCTTATTAGTTCAGCTAGTTTTTGAGTTAACAATGGTTGTCTTTGAATACAAAACCCTAGGGCTTGTTTTTTTTTAACCTCTCTATGGAGCACAAAATAACTAGCATTTATTGAGTACTTACTATATGTCGGGAATTGTGCAGTGCACAAAAAATGAAGCTACTTTTATACAGTAGTGATTTTGGTTTATTGTTCATAGTATTGTCACTATTCAGTTAAAGAAGAAAATCTTTACATTGTATGCAGAGAAAAAAATTCTATAAATAAATAATTTTAGGGGGCCAAGGATTTAGCTCAGCAGCTCAAGCACCTGCCTAGCAAGTACAAGGTGATGAGTCCAATCCCCAGAACCAAAAATAATACTACTACTACTAATAATAATAATTTTTCTGGCCAGGCGCATGCTGTGCACACTTATAACCCCAGCACTCTTAGGACTGAAGTAGGAGGATTTGTTGCAAGTTCAAGGATAGCCTGGGCTACAAATTAAGTTCGAGGCCAGTTTGAACTGCTAAACCCTGTCTCAAAAAGACAGAAAAAAAAATAAGTTTCCTTCCTGGTTACAAAACTGAGTTTAAAAATCATTTTAAAAATTATTTTTATTAATACATGTTTGCAGTATGACTACATTTATCATGAGGAGCTGGTACATGGACATAACACGTAAATATTTTCCAAAATTCTTTTTTTTTGGAGACACGGCCTTCTTATGTAGTTTAGGCAGGTTTGGAACTCACTATGCAGCTCAGGCTGGTCTCTAACTCATGACGTATCTCTTGCCTCAACCTCCACAATGCTGAGATTACAGGTTTGTGCCACTACACTTGGCTCTAAAAATCATTTGAAAGTAAAACTAGCCTTGCCTGATGTTGTACACCTGAAATCACAACACTTTGAGATGCTAAGGCAGGATGATCCCAAGTTCAAGCCCAGCCTGAGCAATGTAACTTAGCAAGACCCTGCCCCAAACAAAAAAGGCTGGGGATGCAACTCACTGCAAAGACCCTGGATTCAATCCTCAGTATACCACACACACACACACACACACACACACACACACACACACACAGACACACACTATAAGAACTTAACATTATCTCTTTTCTCTCAGTATTAAGAAAGAAATTTACTCTGAAAAAATAAATCTAGCCTAATAATTTAAATCAAGTCTATTCTATTGCCTGGAACACTATCATATACATAACAAGCTCGAAAGGTGAAAACAAAACATAAGCAAGGAGTTGTGGCACAGTCAAGAAAAACTGACTTATCTATCTATGTGACTAAGTCTTGGATGGAACCACTTTTCTCCACCTCTGCACTACTAACACCACAGCATGGGCTACTGTGATCTATCAACAAGATTACTGCAACAGCCTCTTAATTGGTTTTCCTGTTTCCACTTTTATTCTGTCTATTTCAAAGACAAAAATCAGTATTAATCCTGGTAAAGTATAAGTTAAACTCATGTCCAATGCTCAGTACTCTCTCATTGTTTCCAAAGCCTTAAAGTAAGGTCCTTTAACCAATGGTTCTTTTTTTTTTTGGTACCAGGGATTGAACTCATGACTGCATACTTGCAAGGTGGGTGCTTATGCTGTTGAGCTAAATTCCCAGCCCTAACCAATAGTTCTTAATCAGGGTTGACTGGCCCATCGCCCTACCCAGGACACTGAGGGAATCTGAAAACACTTCTGATAGTCCTCACTAGGCGATGCTACTGACATCAAATGCATAGTGGCCAAGGATGCTGCTAAACATTTTACAGTACACAGGACATTACCCCATAACAAAAATTAATCCAGTGTCAACAGTGCCAAAGTTGAGAAACTCTGCTCTCTATGATCTGCCCCATCACCTCCTTACTTTGTTTACTACACATCCTTGTTCATTCTATATTCCTAGAAGACAAAAATAGCCATTTTTACACATATTGCTCTCTCACCTACTAGAATGCTTGTTTTCCCCTGAACCTTTACCTCTTTCAGCTTCTCATTTGCCTGTTTTGTGCATGTGTTTGTTTGTGTGTCTGTGTATGCAGTAGTAGGGACTAAACCCAGGCCTTATGTTGAGAAACATGCCCTGTACTTTTATCATTTTTGATGTAACAGTCGAACTAAGATGCCCAGATTGAGCTCAAACTCAAGATTCTCCTGCCTCAGTCTCTGTGAGTACCGGGATTATAGGCCTGTACCACCATACCTAGATTCTAGTGCTGTTTATATATAAGCAAATTACCTTTGATTTTCAATGCTTCCGGGCTACACCTCACCTCTTTCTAGACTTGTCTTCAGGCTCTTCAATAAAAATCTATTGTGGTCAAACCAGTCTTAAGTCTCTCTGAAGCAGTATGGCTAGCCCTGCATTCACACTGTTACCACCTGGAATGTTCTCTCTTCTTCTATGTGCTATTTACATAAGAAAAGGTATTACAAGAAAGAAGAAAAATATGGAGACAATGGAAACACAACTTCCTTCCAAACAATGTTGTGGAAGAAATCAGTATCTTAACATGTTTTCTCCAATGCCCTCTACTTCATTTAGTAAACAGCTAGGAAATACATGCTCACAAAGAGGTGTATTGTTGGCTTCATTTGCTAACTATGTTATCTTTTAGTTCCTAAAGCCTGTAATATTCTTTCTCTAGATACTCTCAAGTTTGCATCCTTACCTCATTTAAATCTATGCTCATTATGAGTCCTCCAGTTAACACCTTTAAAATCACAGCATGCACAAATACACAAGTCCTCTTTCCCTGCATTAATTTCTTCCATTTCCCTCCATTAATTTAATGTACAAGATACACTTTTTTAACCTTATTTTCTGTACACCTTATCCCACTATACTGAAAGCTCCACAGTTCAGGAATACTTGTCCATTTTGCTCACTGCTATAGTCCCAGCTTCCCAGACACTACCTCATATGCAACAGGTACTACACATTTATCAAATGAAGTCAAATCAAATCCCTGTCTCATTTGTACAATGTAGATAACTAAGACCTCAAAATACGAATTTTCAGTAGTGGTTTTTAACCAGAGGCGAAGGCCAAATCATTCATAGTGCTTCTAGTACTACATGCTCTAAAATTAAGGTTCAAGTGGTCTAGCATACAACCTGAACAGGAAACTTTGAAACAACTCCCCAGGGGATAATAATCACCCTCAGATGAGAATCACTATTACAACTAAAATCAAGAGAAAACAATAGAAATCATAACATTTCTTTTGTAACACTGTACATTACTACTTCAAGCCCTGTCTCTATAGACATTAAAGCCAGTTCTCCAGTAAAGCCCTCTAGCATTCCAAACCTCCAGTTTCCTTACTCCAGTTTAAAATTCTGGACTCCTATTTATTTAGCCCTCTCAATTTTCTACCCATCACTAGTCAGCCTGCAATTTGTTATTTTTCTCTAATTTTTGTTTGTTTGTTTGAGATAGGTCTCACTATGTAGTTCTGGCTGGCCTTGAACTCACTTTGTAGCCCAGGCCAGCCTCAAACTTGTGAGGATCCTGCCTCAGCCCCTTGAATGCTGAGATTAAAGGTATGCACACCACATCCAGTAAAAAAAAGTATTTTTTAAATTACTCATAATTTACATCTAGATGCTCCCCTAAAGCCTCATGTGTTCATACATGGGGCTTTGGGGAGACTAATGGACCATGGGGACACGATACATAATAATGAATCAATCCACGGATGAATTTATAGCTAAAAGTGATTTGGGGGTGAAGTGTGAGTGGAGGTGGAACACTGGGCATTTGACCTGAAAGGATCTATTTCCCTCTCTCCTCCCATGATCAATCCACCTGCCTGTCATGCCCCTCTGCCATGCTGCCTTGCCTTGGAGCAAGTCACCTATAGCTTGAAACCTCTATCAACTGTGAGCCAATATAAATCTTGTCTCCTTTAAGTTGCTGGTGACAGATGGGTGCTGTATCTTAGGGATGAGAAAGTAACCCTAACAACAGCCATCACCTCCCAAATAAAAGGTCTTAATATCCCTGTATCTACATTTATGGAAGTTTTTTAGGTAACTTTCCAGATTACAATCTAACCTGCACGGGGATGCAAATTAAAAGTTCTTTGGCAATTTATTTGTGTTCCTCTCCTCAAAAATATTCTTCAGATGGGTGTCATAGTGTATACTTGTAATCCCAGCACTCCATAGGCTGAGGCAAGAAGACTGCCATGAGTTCAAGGCCAGCCTACACTACATAGTAAGACTCTGCTCCTCCAAAATAAGTTTATATATATATATATATATATATATATATTTCTTTCAATATTCACTTAATACATACATACTGAGCACCTCCTATACACTGAGACTTTTTAGCCTACATAAAATTCAAGAGTTTCTCTTTATCCTTAGATATTATAAATAAAAAATTTCTTTCACATAATTTCTTCTTTACTTTTAAAGATGTGGAAACAGGTCTAGAGAGTTTAAAGACAACTAATTGAGGATTTAATTTCTGATCTACATTATTTCTAAATCTATACCCCTATCTTTACCTTCTGTCAGTTTCAAAATTCCTTACAATATAATTAAATCTTACAAAGGAAAATATATTAATTTTTTAAATCTTTTTAAATTGTTGTATGCAAATTATTGTGCTCTATCTAAAGAACTCTGGTAACTATCAAAATACCATTCAACTGTACTCTGCATCTCCCTCCTGATTTTTATCTGTAGTCTAAAGTCTAATATGTTTATGTCAACAAATAATTATGCTTCTTCATGTGCTCTTCCAGATCACTCACTGTAAATCACTATATTTGAATACACTGAGAAAAGTAGCTTCAAAAACATCAAAATGCATTACAATAGAAACTACATAAAACTAAGCCAATAATCCACTTAATGTAAATTACTAAACCCCAAAATCTCTGATTCAACGAAAAAACTCAGCCAGTATCCTGTAATTCATCACTTAGAATTTGGTTAGAGTTTTTGTAATAAATTAAAAGAAGCTAATTGAAATAACAAGGACAATAAGTAACACTCATCTGAATAACTCTTAGCTTTTTCTAATCCCAAATGCACACATCGAGTCAAAACATAAAAATATCTTTTCAGATATTTTATTTTTGTGAATTTGAAAAACTGAAATGCAATCCCTCAACAAATTTAAGAGAAAATCAAAGATGACACTTACCATTAAAGCCCTGATAAGCATTCCTGCAAGCAGAGTGTGTATAATCTATGAAGACACAGTCAACAGAAAGGAATTAGTCTGACAGAATTAGCAAAAAATCCAAAAGTATATACCAATATATAAAACACAATTTTTAGATGCCATTAACTCAATTACTTGCAACATTATTACCAATAAATAATTACCAATATCCATTTGGGAAAACATCTGTTCTTTACTACCTCCCCAAATAACATGTTCATCATCCACAACATGGCAATGTAATAATCAGCCTGTAACATCTGATACTTAACAGCTAAAAGAAGGAATCCAGTACTGACTTATACTGCATAACCAAAGAAGATAGATGAAATTATATACTAAATAATGCAAAAAACAAACATATCTGAGAATTGAGTCTATGTAATACAAATTTTTTTCAAAATTAGTATTTCTTTTAGCACTTAACTTGCATTCCAAATTTCAAAAATTTTATCTGAGATGCATAATGCATATATGTACATTAATGTGTTCTATATCCATCCAGGATGTGGCATCATAGAGAAAGATACCCCAATTTACTTATCAAAATTTAATAATGTTAAATCTGTCAACTAATACTTAAAGAATGGAATTAAATACAATAATGCCAGGCCTGGTAGCACATGCCTGCAATCCTAGCACTCAGAAGGCTGAGGCAGAACCACTGTGAATTCAAGGCCAGCCTATGTTATCCCTAACATAGTTTGTAAGTTCAGGCATATGGTGATAATAAAAACAGACATACAAGTTTTATATTAATGTTTTCAATTCGCTACAGAAGGGATTGCTTTATTGCTCCCACTGTCCCCTCATCACCACCTTGGTAGCCTTTGCTGTACCTTGCGTACTGGTAATGCTGTCAAACTTTGGCATGATTTAATATATTCTTTTATTTTCACTCTCAACTGTGGCTGTATCAAAATGAACCAAAGTCCAACTAAAACAAAATCACCATCCTAGTATGCTACTCTAAGAGCTAATTTCCTATTTCAAAGTAATTGAAAAGTACCCACCAAAGGATTATTGTCCCCTTTCACATTCTCACACATAGAAGTTTCAACTCTTTGTAAGATGAAATCAAATCAAAAATCGAAACCTCATTCAGTAAGACGCATGCTAAGAACACACCTCATTTATTTTAAAAGTGCCTTTTTTTGTTGACCTTAGAGGCTTACAACTGCTTAGTGGGCTGGTTTTATTTAGAACTGCCCAGTTAGTAGGGATTAAACTCAGTTTAATCGTACAAGCTCTTTCCCATGCCTTCCTAATGCTATCACTACATACTGCTTTTATCTCGATGCTCATTCCCATCAAAGCTGGTTAAGATTTGAAGACAACCAAATTAATTCCGCATTGTGACTCGGTAAATGCGGTGTAAAGAAGTGGTGTCACTGAGGATTCTAAAGTACTGTTAAAATTCCATTTAATCAGTAAGCTCAACACAGGCTACCGTGTATGTGAAGGGCATCTGATGTTTGCTGTGCCAGAATTCTAAGTCCTGTCCATACAAGACCCCTCCCCCCCAAAACAGTACTTTGGTTCACAGAATACTCGCAAGTCAGGCATTTCGAACTAGATAACTTTGGTGTACAAAATAGCCCAATTTGCAAATCAAGGCAAACTCAGCTTTTTATTCTGTACATACAGTTACTTATATATGGCACTTTAAAAGATACCCTTTAAACTCGTCCTCGAGCTAGGACAACCAGAGACATCATCACCGTGAGTGAATAAACAAGCCTCTGGAAATTGTGTTTAGCCAGAAGTCACCCGGGGTTGAGGATGCACAGAACGGATCATCTGGGTCGTCACCCCGTGGGAAAAATGCGCGACGAGCGGGGCACCCTCGGCCTTGGCCGGAGCCGCAAAGCGAAGGCGTCGGGGGAGGGGGCGAGGGAGAAGCAGCTTGCCCAGAGGCCAGGGCGAGTCTAGGGCCGAAGCTCGCGGGCCCTCGCGTTCTGGGCGCGCCTTTCCCAGAACCCGAGCCCACACCGACCTCCCAGGTGCCCGCCGGACCGAACTCGGACGCGCTAGTTCGCTGAGAAGCCGGCTCTGGCGCTGGGCCCGCGGTGGCCGGGCGGCCTCGGGCCCACAGAACAAAGCCCACACGGCCATTTTGAGACGGCACACAGACCCCCCGTGCAGGCCACCCGCCTCCCGCCCACCGCGGCGGCCGGCCAGAAGCGGCGCTTACCGTCCTCGAAGTCCATAATGGAGGCTTGGGGCTGTGGGCTGAGGCGGCGCTGGGCTGAAGCGTAGCTAAAGAAAAGCTACAGAGACTCACGCTGCCACACCAGCAGTCCCCAAGACAGAATGCCGCGCCGCCGGCCGGGAACCCGCAGGCCACAGCGAGGCTGGGGGCGGGGCCGGCCTGGCGCCATAGCGCATCCTGGGATTGGCTAACGTGAGGCGGTGGGCGGGCCCACGCCTGGGGGCGGGAAACAGGTCCGCTGTCACGTTCGCGGGTGCTGACCCACTGAAGCCGCCCAGGAAACAAAGGTTAAAAGAAAGCGACGAAGACCGGCGGAGACCAGGAAAGAGAGCAGAGCGCTCTGGGAGGGCTGGCTGCGGCCCTTCCCGCCATGTTTGAACCTGGCAAGAGCGAAAACATCTACTTGTAATACTTTCCTCCACCCCGAAGTAACGACCATGTGCCGACCACTTGCTTTCAATTGGCTACTGATGACTGCTCAAAAAAATACTTAGTACTTAAGGAGTTTCTCCCTCGGAAACACAAGTTTGAGACATACAGAGAACAGACTGCAAAACAGGAAACAATTTGGGAATGAGCCAACCCAAACTATTAGCCAACACTTCATGTAAGGTGCAAATAGAAGAGCTTCCATTCGAAAAAGATGTATGGCAGGCGCCGTCCAGAACTTGAAAAATGTCCGCAACACACACACACACACACACACACACACACACACACACACTGTGTTATTGCTGTTTGAAAATAGGTGAGGACAGAAGGAAAGTTATTCATCCCCGGGGCTGTATAGAAAAAGTACAGCTGTTTTGATCATTTTGGTTCTGGAGTAACTTGAACCAGAGTTCAAAACCAGAGCAAATGATGACAACAATAAGTTGTCACCAGCCAGGTAACCACGAATCGAACTATGTGCTTTTTTCTGTGTTCAACTAGTTGGTAGAACCAAGTTCCAAGGAAGCAGCTTTTGAAAAATGAACCAGAAGAAAAACTCGGGATGTGCGTGTGTGTGTGTGTGTGTGTGTGTGTGTGTGTGTGTGTGTTACTGTACTCAAATCTAGGCGGGGCATTGTTTCCTCTTTGTCATTTTCCTTCTCCGCCCTGATTGACTCACCTGTTCTCCACCCTTTTCTTGTTTCCTTCTTCTCTCCTGTACATTTTTCCTCAAACTGAACGCACTGAAAATTGGACTCATAATTTCCCTCCTCAAACCTGCTCGTCCTCCTGTGTTCTTTCATCTGTTATTGGCATCACGAGCAACCACCCACTAATCTTAGGTAGAAGGCTACAGAGTCATGCAGGCAAGACTCAGCCCTGCACCAACCTCCCACTCCCAAACCATATCGAACTCTTTCATTGGCTTATAACCTTGTAACATTTCTTCCCACCACCATTACTGAGTTAAGACTCCTTTCCTTATCTCTCAGCAAAACTAGTTCCTGAGCTTCGTAATTCATTTCTCTGTCCTTTAGCTTTCATTTTTCTCAGCCTCCCTAGGGCTGCAGTGATCTAAATCAAATCCAAATAGGTCATAGTGCATCTCTAACATGGTCTCTAAGTCTAGTTAAAACTCTTTCACTTAGCCAGGTATGTTAGTGATTGCCTGTACCTTCATTGGGAGCCTGAGGAGGATCACAAGTTCAAGCTTAACCTGGACAACTTAGTAACTTATCAAGAACTGTCTCAAACAATCAATCATTTTTTTAAAAAAAATTAAAAGGCTGGCAATTCAACTCAGTGTGAAAAACCTTGATTCAATCCGCAGTAATGCAAACAGAACCTTTATTTCTTTAATGGGTTGTTTTATTTTGTTTTTGAGATAGGGTCTCACTATGTAGCTCAGAATGACCTCCAATTCATGGCAATCCTCTTGCCTCTGCCTCCCAAATGCTGGGATTACAGGTATGTGCCACCACACCTGGCAAACAAAGCCTTGTTAACCCAGAGCATGTGTGCACAGAATCTGGCCACTGTTTGATCGCTGCTCTCTCCCTGTATTTCCCCATCCTCCACTGTCCCACACTTTTAATCAGTAATTGACCCTTCTGATCAAGCTATTTGTCCCCCAAAACACCCCGGTTCTTTGTTTGGTGTTTGGTTTTGCTTTTGCTTTGCTTTGCGTTGTTGTTGTTTGTGTGTGTGTGTGTTTAATGACATTGAACTTTGCATTGCATCATTCCTTCTACTTAGAATAACACTTGGTTGAACCAACACAGTCCCAAAACACAACTCAAGATTTTGTTTTTCTAGGAAACATTCCCACATTTTATCTTCATCCCCTGGGCCAGTCCTTCTGAAATAGTAGAATGCATGTGATTCCCCTGGGATCTGTTAGGACAGTTTCCCTTCAGCCAACCTGGAGGAAATGCTGTTCCTGCTGGTGAATGTGGAAGCCCACCGCCCTACAAGGCCTTGGGGCTTGCTACAACGTTGCACTGACTGCTCTGGCTCCTGATCCCATTTTAAACTCTTTGTACTCTTAGTGCAGAGAACATATATTTACCAAGTAAAAGTGAGCTCTCCTTCAAAGTTTTTAACTTTTTTGTTATCTTTCCTCTCCCCTAATTTCTGGTAAAGCAATGATTTCATAACCTGAAGTCTCAGAACTTAGCATGGCTGGAAGGGAATAAACATTAGATCATTGTATCTTGTCCCACATTCTCGCTGTCTCTCATACTTATTCACACACACACACACACACACACACACGCATCCTTCTCCCTTAAAAGAGAAAACTTCCTGACAAGAAATTCCAAACTCCAGAAAAATCTGGCCTCAGCACACCCATACGGAGAGCCAGGATACACACATCTTTTCTACCCTTCCTTCCTCTTTTTCACATAGGAAGCACTCTTCTACAGGCAGGTGGACATACCCCAGAGATACCCTTAAATGCAAAGAGGCCATCAGACTATGTCCCAATTCACTTACTCAACAAATATTGATTGAACACTAAGCACCTCTTTTTCCGTACTGGGGTACTGGGGTCTTCATTGTTATATTTCATCCACCTTGTCCTCTGCCCTGACTCTAACCAGGCTGCCTGGTCTATTCCCATTTCCCTAGGTTCAAATTTTTATTTTCTGGGCCCAAGGTTTTGCATAAATTTGTATGCTTCCACGTATTGCATGGCAGATGTGAGCTAGAAATATGGTGGAGTGCTTGCCTGGCACGCTTCAGTCCTCAGCAACACACACACACGCACACATGCACACACACAATTTGTTACAATAGATAGCATTTGTTATAATAGATAGCTGGAATTACAGGTATGTGTCACCATGCATGGCTTTAAATGATGTTCCTTTGTAAAATCCATTCCCTAAATTCTTAAACAGAATTTTCTTCACTCTGTGTGAAGAAATAATAAATTCCAAACCCATAAAATTTACTTTAAAATTTAAAATTTTGGTGTGCAGAGGTGAGGAAGAAGTGAGAAGTTATGACTAGGACTTGTTCCTGAAGGAGGTGTCTAAAAGCCCCACTGTGAACCTGAGAAAGGCTGGATGATGAAAGGACTCCCTGAGGGCCTAGAGACCTTTATCCCCAATAATTAATCCTTTGCCTAAATGATTCGCGCTCCAACAACACAGCACCATCTTCTGTTCACTGAACAAACTGTGTTTGAGCCTTTTCATTCTTTTTCTCATGTCATACTATTTCCTCTCCTCTCTGTTCTTTCTGTTCACTATAAACTTTGCCTTTTTTTGTTTTGTGTTACTACAGATTAAACACAGGTCCTTCACACTGAGCTATATCCCCAGATTGTTACTCATTCCATATTTTAGAGACAGGATCTTGCTAGGTATACTGCACAAGCCACATTTGAATTTGCAATCCCACTGCATCAGCCTTCCAGAATGCTGGAATTACAGATATGTGTCACCATGCATAGCTTTAAATGTTGTTCCTTTGTAAAATCCATTCCCTAAATTCTTAAACAGAATTTTCTTCACTCTGTGTAAATTTATTAGCAGTTTCACAGTTGCATTGCTGTTACAATTAGTGAGTAAACTGTATCTTTGCCAAATTCCTTCTTCTTATGCTTTCAGTGTGAAGATTCTTCTTTGTGCCCGTGGGTGGTCTCTGCATTGGTCACTATGCATATTGAGTGGAAGAAGCACTATCCATATCAACACACACACACACACACACACACACACACACATATGCAAGAAGACTTGGGCTGAAATTAGTTGCCCAGAGATTCATTTGTACAAAATCGCTATATCATACAATTATTTTGGAGAGTACTAGGCAATAGTGTTTAATTCTGATTTCCCAGTGTTTTCCTATCTTGCTTCCAAAGAATTTTTCCTCCCCATATTCTATAGGGAATCCATAAACATTTAGGGAAGGAAGTCAAAAAGTAGGAATTACTATCTTCTAGCAAAGAAGTCAAACAAAGTAATCACTACCTGAGGGCCCTATGGAGTTTATTAGTTATAGATCCAGAACCATGGAAACTGAAAACAGCTGGTATGACAGCATCAATGGGATGAGTTTTATACATATGGCAGGCTATGTCTCCATGGATGTAATACAGAACTTCAAAAACATGCAGGAGTCTCTGGAATTTGAAAGGAATAGCAATAAAATAGCAACTTATCTTTATTAAGCCAAATATCTCAGTAAGTGTTGAGAAGCACATTACGCATATTGACTCATCCACCTAGAATATTGTGGTGTAGGTGCTGTGATCATCCCCCCAGCTTACTAGGCCAGGAAACTGAGAGAGTAAACTACCTAGACAGTACTTGTCCCCAATCACACAGCTGATAAAGGATAGAGCCAAGATTTAGTTACAGATGGCCTGGCTCCAGAGCCCAGGCTTGCCTTCCTGCCTTTTGAGATACCTACTGTGCTCTACTGAGCAGCAGTTGTGTACCAGGAATTTGAGAGGACACTTCATACGCTTATCCTTGATCTTTACAATAAGGTAAGTTGTGCCCTTTTCCAAATGAGGATCACTTAAGTGAATTAAATTAATTCACCCAATGTCACATAAGCAGCAATTGCTTGCTCCATATTCATAGTACATATTATAAAGTCATGCTTAGATCCACTAATATATGGGATTAATCTTGTAGACCCATCCAGGTCTTCAGCCTTAAAAATAAAAAAAGACTTTGCTAACCTATAGACAATTTTAAATAACTCGATATAATATAAT